GGTACGTGTGCGAAAAAAGGACTGTTCTGAATTGAATCAGTTCGATTTTAGGTCTGTTCGAATTCGTCGTACCCCCAAGATTTCCCTGAAAAGGCTCTTTTCAAAAGAGATTTTTAGATATCTATCTCAATATTATCAATAATGGGGTTATGAATTTAAATACAGAAAATCCTTTTTTTCTTCCATGAAATGCGTTCTTTCGCATGCATAAAAATTCATTTTTGGCATACATAATAAATTTGATAGCGAAGAATTGTGTCACGCCCTGTTATTTTCATTCATCATGAAGACTGGCAATACAATCTTAAACTTAATTAAAGGATTTATTCGAATGTTTCCGATATAAATACATTGAAACTTCATAGTTCATCATTATTGTCGAATTAAAAAAAGTGGGACCTGGAAAAATTCGCGGGCGTCTTCCCGGTCAATTTTTGAGGCCTTGCCTCAAAATCACTACAGTAGTAAACGAAACTTATTTATGGGATTTTCTGGACAAAATGTAGATTTCTTGGTATGAAAATGATTGCTAGCATCTCTAGAATCTGTTTTTCACCGAAAAACCGAACTTAATTGCGAAAGTAGCTCGAACGAGGCGAAAGTCTGAAATATTACTTTTTGTCGCACTTTTTCGTAGATCAAAAAAGAGCTGCGCCTTTCAAATTCTCAGGTCCCACTTTTATAATTCGACAATAATTTTCAGTCTCGTCGTTTTGAAACGCGGCTCATCGTTGAATCCTCATAATAAGCAGGAATATCGGTCATTCTGACAACTCCAACACCTCCACCTAGTCGCCTGTAAGCCATCTGAGAGTGCATTTTCCATCGATTCGTTTCTTTATCAAAAACTTCAACTGATTTCAAATAGGTTTGTCCATCGAATCCACCAACTGCATAAAGTTTATCTCCGACAACTGCCACACCAACACCACTTCTCCTATTGCTCATAGCAACAACCGGTTGCCATTCATCTCTTTCTGCATTATATTTTTCCACGGTGTTTAATTCCGTCGACGCATCTCTTCCACCAACTGCATACATATATCCATCGTAAACTGCAGTACCAAGATGTTTCCTCTTCGTGAGCATCGGTCGGACTTCTTCCCAGCTGTCAACACGAGGATCATATCTTTCAACCGTGTTCAAAGGAGATGGTCCATTAGATCCGCCGACAGCATAAAGACACCCATTGAGCACTGATACAGAGACGCCCAATCTTCGAGTTCCCATACTCGCAACTTTCGTCCATTCATTTTTCCTAGGGTCATATTTCTCTACTACATCAAGGCAACTTTCTCCATCCTGGCCACCAACAGCATACAGTGATCCATTGAAAGCAGCAACTCCGACACTTGTTCTACAAGTAGCTGTTGGAGCAACGTCGCTACTCCACTGATTGGTCATGGGATCGTATCGCTCGATGCTGTTCAAATAGGACTGTCCATCATGTCCTCCAACAGCATAAAGAAGATTTTCAAGCACAGCGACACCAACTCCACATCTTCGTTTTCCCATTGGAGCCACACATTTCCAGAAAGTTCCACCTTTAATTGGATCCATTCGTTCAATCGAGGCAATCGCATCACCACTACACCATCCACCAACGGCGTACAGCATTTCGGCCACCTGCAGAGGCTGTCTAGGTTTTGTGCGGGGACCTTGCATATTAGGCCGTTCGACCGGTAGTAGGAGATAGTTTTTGGCTTCATCAACTAAATCTCGGCTAGCTGGATCTGACTTGACCAGAATTTCCTCGCTGACAACGCTAACCAGGAACTTGGGAGTGCAGAGTGGTAGTCGGACATGAGAAAGAAGCTATAACAGATTTAATAAAATAAAATAAGCTCATTTTCATATACTTACCATGGACAGATGTGCTTTCCTTGCAGAAATATCATGCCTAATCCATTTGATCAATGCAGAAAAAACGAGCTCCTCGGACGCCGCATTCAGCCTGTCACTTTTGATGATTGTTGTTAGACTTTCCACTGATAGAAGAAGGAATTCTTCTTTGCCAATGACGCTCTGTGTAATTGAATAAATAGTACAGTTATTACGGAAAGTATTTTCTTACTGAAAAATTTTTAAGAGCAAATTCGTCCGCCGAACTCAAGAGTTCTTTACATGAATGAGTGTCAGCAAACGCGCGTATTCCGAGACAATTCGACGGATCCAACTGCTTTTTCAGGTATTCACAACAAGCAGTTTGTACTTCATGTAGTTGCAAAAGACATGCTGCAGGCAGAATGTCTTGCACGTTAGAATCATCTATCTGAATTACTCCAGAATAGCAGAAATCTAGCAGTACTTCGAGAGTAGTAGCCTCCATGTTTTCGATGCTGATCTCTTCTAAATTACTATAGAACTTGGACGAAAACTCTTGGAAGCAAACTGACTCGAGTAGCATTCTGACATTTTTGATGTAAACATCGACATAAAATACGGAGAACACGCCGAGAGAACAACACGATGAGCATTCAACCGCTTCCAGTCGCAGATCTGAAATTAGAAGTTGTTATAGTTCAATGCCAGAAAATCTGTCGAACCAATGTCACATCACAGAGAATGTCTTGATTTCTCAGATTCCCTAGCTGTTGTAGAATAGAATAACCAAAGTGAACATTCTTATATTTATTCTGAGATTTCCTAACATCGAACATATCCGCTGGTTCTTGAGAAGTGGAAGGGCGGTTTGTATCATCAGCACAATCTGGTCGCTTGTCCTTCATGCTGAAACTAGATTCAGTAAACATAGAACCCCCAGTACTCTGCGTCGGCACATTCTTGTTATGAAGTAGACATCATGAGACTGAATCAAACTCATTCACAGGAACTGTTTTTGCAAATTGAAATCGAACAAGTTTATTGAAGGAAAATTTGTGAAAAACTAAGATGTGTATTTTACAAAGAAGGTGAAGCAGTAACACTATCTTATACGCATCTATATCTTGTCACCGGATGTCGTAAGATTATACCCTGTCTGATTAGAGAAAAAAGGAACGGAAGAAGAGAGCACAGCAAGCTGTAGACGGAGAACGCATATGGCGACATTGGATGTCTTTTGTAAACCTGTACAGAAAGTTAATCCGTCTCCGGGTAAGAAAAAGGACAATTTGATTGTAATATGGCGAGAGGAAACATAAATAATCACCCGTATGCGTTATCTTCTAAATACACGATCTTACAGAAAAAAGTCAATGGTGCTAAGAATTCTAGTCTTGATTGGAAATTGGTGTGTCTTCTTTCTCCGTTTCTGATAAACTCTCACTGTCTTCCACACTCAAATTATCATCTGCTCTCGGTCGCTGCCCTTCGGCCAAAACATCCCGGAGAACTCGTTGATTCTGTACAAATTGTTCTTCTATCCGCACTTGCTGAGCAGCAAACAGATTCGCAAGAGCAGTTTCCAATTCGGTCATTGTTTTTCGACTACTTGACGTTTTCTCCACTTTCAGAGCTGATGAAACAGCAGCAGTTACAGCGAGCTCAGCACGTCGCATTCCTTTCGATATAAACTTCTTGTTTTCAATACCAACTTTTGCTATCCGAGTTCTCAATTCATTGCGCACAATTGACTGAGTCTCCTCGCATCGTTCTTTATTTCTTCTGTGAATGTAGAATACACCAGCGAATAGAAATGATAGAGCCAGAATGTTGAAGGAAATCAGAGCAACAATCAGATGATCAGTCTGAACAATAAGAACATTTTCATCACACAGATTCCGGATAACAGCTTACATTCCAGGTTATCGATCCTAACATCACCGATTTAGCAGTTTGATAAATCTTTTTCATTCTTTCTTCAAATTTTGTAAAGTTTTCCAGCTTGTCACTCACAGATGGAATGATTAACGGTAGTTTGGGGAGCGTTGGACCTGAACATGTTTCATTAGAACTTGTTTCTCAAATGTTTTCTTACTTGGTGGCACATTTGAGCTTATATGACAAGATGACATAAATACATTCCGACTCATTTCGTTCTGAGCGTTCTTATAACGACTGTTTTCCAATTGCTGCAATAGGTAAACCGATTGTCGGAGTTCTCGAAGCTCCCTCTTCACATTGTTAATTTTTGAGCGCATAATTGCTTCAACAGTCTGAGCAGATTTTCTGGAAGCCTTCCGAGTTTCTTTGAGTTCATGCTGGTAGCCACTCATTTGCGAGACATATCTGGAACGACAGGAATTTTGATTATAACTATGATAATTTTTCAACTCACTGTTTACTAAGTTCAGAGAGATACTCCGTACTCAGCGTCAAATTCATTTCCACTGCAGCAATCCGTTTACTCAGTTTCATCAGAACCATTTCTCTTTGACTTGTGGATCCACCAGCGGGTAAAATTGACTCCGATTTTGTCTTAGGAGGGGCAGGTGTCGTTTGTTCCTGAGCCTGCTGTGGGATATCTGGTTGAGCCGTTGGTTTCGTTTCATCCGAAGTTGATATTTTCTCTTCAGTTTTTACAATTTCATCCACCTTTGGTACAGGAGTTTCTACTGGACCATTTGGAACAGTAGGAGTCGAAGTGCTCTCTGTAGCAGTGTCTTCTGCCCGTAATCGCTGTATGGTTGCCAAATTTCTCCTCCTAGATTGTTCGAAAATGGTGTGCCTACTTCTCTCTGCCCATAAACCGATTTCCACTTTCAAATTTCGATTTTCGGTGACTGGTGGTTTTACTGTTACTGGTTTCGGTGTGAGAGTAGGCTTGAATGGTTTCGATTGTCTGGTAAGCAGATGGCAATGCAAATACGAAACTTTTTCTGCCGAACACTGTGAGCACATGGATCGGATTTCGAGGAAGCTGAAAATGATTGTCAATGAATGCAGTATTCAGAAAACAGGTTCGAAATTTACCTGAATCTTTTCAACTTATTGGTATAATTTGATCCTCGTGGTGGAACTGGCAATTGAGTCTGAACCTTTTGCTCTGAAGGTGGAGGAGTCGTAACTGGTTCTTCATTCTTTTCATCAATAACATTTAGAAGGTGTGCAGCTGCTTCTTCTTTGTCATATTCGTCAGACAATGTACTTCCCATTACATTTACAACGGAAACAATACAGTAATGTTCTTTCCCGTAGTGATCTTCAAGATTGATCCTGACGTATTTGGCATAGATATTGGTATTTGGTACTTCGAATGTTTGTAAATGCTTATGATGATCTTGTAGATGAAAAGATCCTAGAGAAACCCAACTAGCTAGAGGTGGATATCTCTCAGAAATGAATACTTGTATTGTTTTCGGTCTCGAGGCAAACAATTCGAAGTTGCCAATCGCCAACTTTTTGATTTGAATTGCTTCGCATAATTCCACAACAATAAACTTTTCTTTGGAGGATTGACATGGGTTTCTCATATAATCATCAACATCTTTCTCGTTTAGAACGGCTTTCGCATTCTCCGCTTCTGGATTAGCAGCTATGATTTTTGCCCCACACTCTCGACTCGCAAAATTTCTAGGTGGTCGAGAAATCGGAGGAAGGGAAATGACGACTTCATCATGTCTTGCTGTTGCTCCGGATGGTGGCTCCATCACCTTTTGATGATGTACATTTTGGTTCTGAACAAAAGCATCTATCAAACTGAATAATCGAAAAAAAACTGACTGCTACAGCATCTCTTCTTTTCTTCGTCCATTCATCGAAGCTTTCAATACTTTTTTCTGGTAAGGGTTCTTTTTCTGACGCATTCACTGAAATTTTAGTTGGCTATAGTGGCAAGCTTCTTCAGATTACCTGATGTCTTTGAAATTTTTTTTGAAACATTGTATGGGGTTGCTGACCTGGAACATGCATCCAACGACAACGTGCATATCAATCTGGAAAATTTATAGTTGAATTCTAATCTAGAAAAATGCAGCACAATGTGTTTATAGATGATCCAGATTTCCCACACAATAAACAGCCTTTTGATAAGTATTAGGTTGTTCGGAAAGACCTTCCATTTTTGATCTGTTGTTTTCGAACTTTGTTTTTTTGAACGGGGTAAAAGCGAGGAAGCTGTCGTTTTATCAGTATGTTGGTGGGGTCTAATAGTGTCTGCACCCCAACGGAGATCATTCCCCCCTTTTCGTGTAATGAGATATGCTCACCGTTTTCGGCTCTATTAATTTCCATTTTTGGACTATATTTTAATTGTATTTATATCTGATCTTAAATTAGCTGAAATCGATCGCCAACTAGTAGCGGTTAACAACGCAAATGCACCCATTCGAACTACCATCACAGCCTGGATTCAGTAATTTGAAAAACGGGAATTCTTATTTGACGAAAATCCCCCTTCAAAAAGGCAAATGGGCTTAGGTTTCGATGCATTAAAAATCGGGCAAGAAATGGACCCTCCTAAAACTGTGTGTGATATATGAAGTACATCAGTGGCAAACCTTTCGTTAAAAACCGTAGATTGAAAACTCTCGGCAAAGTCAAAAAAGTGGGAAGAATCTGACCCCATCTTTTGGCTCAACGCAACTTTTCTCCCCATGTGGGCACCTGTTTGAATCTTCTCATCCTGCGTTGCACACATGAATGTTGGAATTAAACCATTGCTAGTGGTGATAAATGGGTAATGTGTGATTACAATAAGCGACAAGCCAAATGGGTTGACAAAGGCGCTCAACCACCAGACGTCTCGAAACTTGAAATTCGTGTTAAAAATGGGATGTTGTCGGTATGGTGGTCCACCAAAGAATGGAGTATTAGGAGCTCAGGTGACATAACTCAGACTTTATGTGGATCTCGATTGGAGAGGAACGCAAAGGTTTATTTTGAAAACTAAAATTCGCAACCTCGTGCGGGAAGGAAGACCCAGGCCGATCTCGGTGGATATGTCTAGACGATTCTGCCTTATTCACTGTATAGCTCTAACCTTCTACTTTCTGATTATTACCCATCCAGCCACTTCTAACGTCATCTTGATTGACGAAAATTTACTTCAAAACAACGTATCAAAAATGGGTTGACTTGATTTTGAACTCGCTCTGACCGGAGTTCTGGAAGGAAGGCATCCACAGTTTAGTGGGGCATCGGCAGATAGTCATTGATAACGATGGTCATTACATTCAATTTATCCGACATCGTTTTGACCTATTTTACTTTGAATGTATCTGACGCTAAAAATGGAAAGGACTTTGCGAACAACCAAATATTATAGACCAGCAAGCTGGTGCGCCTTCGGCGCGATTCAATCTATTTTTTCAAATGTTCGTCGCTTCGTTTCTCACTTTTTCTAAATAAAAGGGTCACGTAAATATATATGTATTTTTCAATTTTTTCAAAAGTCCACAGACGGACACGAGGACGGACAGACGCCTCTAGCGTTTTATTAATAAGGAAGATTTTTCCAGTTATTTGAAAACTGTAGCCACATCTAATTGCAGTATTTTTGATCGGTTCTGTAGTTTTTGACACCATCGGATTTTCAAATCGAGCATAAATCCACTTAAGGTTTTCAGGAAGGATTCTCAAAACAAACGATAAGAAGCTATAATTTCCTTGTTGCCATATCAGCTTTGATATTCCTCGATTCAACGTTTTATATTATTAAAACAAAACTCACCCATCTTCTCCTTCTGTGAGCAAGATCTCTTTCCAGTTTTTCACAAGTGACACTTCTCGGTTAGCATTTATGTTGGGTAGTGCCAATAGTACACTGGAATTCAATACTTTTTACAATTACTCATATAAAGACTTACGCAAATATCAAAAATTGCAGGAGCTTCATCACCGGGTCCACCTTTCCTGCTCACCCATGCGTGGTCCTTTCTTTCAGCTGAAACGTATCTTATTGCTGGAACAAACTAAGTATTTATAAATGAGAAGAAAATACCGGAATTGAAAAGAAATCTAACCAAAACCACATGATTTTACACACCCGTTTATAGAATAGAGAGTCTCGTGGTGAAGTCAAAAGCGGTCAGCAAACCAACTAGAAAGCGACAAGGCACCGCAATGGCTGCTGCCGGCCGAGTGCGCCTTTGTGCGTCAAGCCGAAAGCGTTGACGTCAACGGTGTAGCCGCGTAGTAGACGCGCTTATGGTGCAAGTCAACGTTGATTAAAGTTCTAATAATTTGTGCTGTATTGTGTCCGTGCTCTTTGTAATTCACCCTTGCCTAATTTTTAGATAAAGATATAAAGGTTTTACAGGTAACAAAATGTTTAAATGGGTCATACTTCTCAGTTTATCACTTCTGTCATCTTTATCATTTGCATCTGCTGATGAGGACTTTGTGACCTGTTTCAGCGTTCTTAAATTTATAAATGTCAATGATGGGTCAAGGTAAGAATGAGCCGATAACAATAAGAGCTGCAAAAAAAACGAATGCTAAAATCAGTTGACAGTATCTTGTAATATCGTGTCGGGACGGACTATTTCTTTTTTGAAAAATCTCTGGTAATCGGTTTCCAACCAGATTCGGGAAAATTCCGGAGCAGAAATGGCTAGATCTGGTTAGAAAATTGTCCGAATCAGGTTGGGAAATTAGCTTTCTCGGTCGGATCTGGTCAGAAAATCACCAGATCTGGTCAGAAAATTGCCAGATCTGGTCGGAAAATAAAAACATTCCGAAAGTGGTTGGAAAATGTGCGTTCCCGAATCTGGTTGGAAAATCTCATCCTGATCGCCAGTTGTTGTATCCTGTGGTCCAGGCATTATAGGAGACACAGGAAGGGTTAAGAGTGGTTAGAATAAAAGTCTTTATTCAAGGACAATACAGAAACTGATCTTGAGAACCTAGGAGTTCTCAAGAGACAAGAAATCCACGTGTAATATGTGGAGGAAATAGAACGGTTAGTGAACCAGGGTAGTTCACGTCACCAAATAATAATACATTCAACTTATAAGAATAGACGTAGAATGTAACACATTCCGAATCTGGTTGGAAAATGCGCGTTCCCGAATCTGGTTGGAAAATTGCCCGAAACTTTTTAGAAACCGATTTCCAGAGAATGTTCCTTTAAAATCCTACCATAAAGGTGGTGTGCTGTGAAAAATTTTACTGCTTTATTTTGTGCAGAAATCCAAGTAGATCCCCATAAAAGTAAAAAAAAATTCCTTCATCGAGAAAAACGGCATCGAAAAGTCAAAGTGAGAACCGGTGGCCTAGTGGCCAGGTGTGAGTCTTCTAGGCCAACTGCCGGTAAAAGCGCTCGAAATTCGAATTTTTATTGATTCAGTGTTTTCTCAGATGTCTTTTAAAGATTTCAAAATGTTTTTGTTAATTTCCTCCCAGGTCTATGAAAAACCTGAGAAAACACTGAACGTCAATAAAAATTCGAATTTCGCGCGCTTTTACCGAAAGTTGGCCTAGAAAACTCACATCTGGCCGCTAGGCCACCGATTCACACTTTGACTTTTCGATGCCGTTTTTCTCAATGAAGGAATTTTTTTGAATTTTTTCGTTATTTTTATGGGGATCTAAATGGAATTCTGCACAAAATAAAGCAATAAACTTTTTTCACCGCACACCACCTATAATTCCCTGAATCTTTACGTGATATCTGTTGTTCTGGTACAGAAGAAGAAATCAGAGCTGTGGGCCTCCATTTGGAAAAAACCCTCGGTGGTCGTGGCCCAAGGGACACAAAACGACAACTACCGTAACCTATAAAATATGTTTATTCCCAGAATTTGTCTCAAAATAACGGAAAAAATCGACGAAAAGCAATGAAAACGAGAAAAAAATCCTGAAATGAAAATATCTAGGCTATGGTAGTTTTCCTTGTGGTACCTTGCGCACTTAGAACCATCGTTAGCTCCGATTTTTGTACCGTAAATATTTAGAAAATTTCTCCCACCGGCATGTTGATCAACATTCTGGTTTCAGATTACACTCTCACGACGTTAAATATGGCAGCGGATCTGGTCAGCAGTCAGTGACTGCCGTCAAAAATTCAGACGATATCAATTCTCATTGGCAGATCTTTCCAGGTATGTAAAGTCTACCATTGTAGGCATGTGGAAGAGGACTATCAAAAATGTCCATCTACAACTGAATCTCAATCTAATTTAGCTTTGAACGCGGAATGTGGCCGAGGAGATGTGATCAAATGCGGAGACAAGATACGCCTGAAGCACCTCACCACAGGAACTTTTCTTCACTCCCACCATTTCACCGCGCCACTGTCAAAGCAACACCAGGTTTGTGTGAACGTTCATTTCCCGCTAAGTCCTATGCAATTTTAGGAAGTGTCTGCCTTCGGAAGCGAAGCAGAAAGCGACACTGGAGACGATTGGACGGTCATTTGCAACGGAGATGAGTGGTTGGAATCTGAGGTTTGTAAAATACTCTTCTATCGACTGACGAAAACTAGCTACTTTCAGCAATTCAAACTTCGACATGTGGTGACCGGCTCGTACCTATCATTATCTGGGCAACAGTTCGGACGTCCAATACATGGACAGCGGGAAGTCGTTGGAACCGATTCTATTACAGGAGGAAGCGCGTGGAAAGTTGCTGAAGGAATTTACATTAAGCATCAGCAAAAAGATCTGTGATTAGTTTAGTTATTATTGTATACCTACTATATTTGAATACCATGCCTTTTTTTTGTGATTTCCAAAGCTTTACGGGAATGTTACGAACGTCTTGAATAAACGATTCAGGTTCATTTAAAAATGATAATGACATTTTAAAGAACGCTACATTGATGCACAGACAGAAAAAGACCGAATAAATTAGGTGTATATGATGCGATAATAGGAAGCTGAAGGTCAGACTTCATCGTTATTTCTCTTTACTTCTTCGGAGTGTTTGGAATTGATGGTTTGACATCCTTGTCTTTTTTCTCGTCTTTCTTCTCTTCCTTTTTGCCCTTCTTCTCTTTTTCAGCCTTCTTATCGGATTCACTTATTTCTTGCTCCTTTTCAGCCTTTTGAAGAGCGATCTGGAGCAAAAAACATTGATACTAAGCCATGACAGCAAAATCAGAACTAGGGTTTCCATTTGGTGGGAGATTTACCCGCCCGCACCCGCCCGGGGGGCTCTTTTTTCCACCCGCTCAAATGGAAACCCTAATCAGAACAAACCTTGTTATCGATTAAGTTGTGCAACGCAACAACTGAACGAACCAACGATCCCATATAAACACACATCAACTGATCGTTCGTTTGAACGTTTTGTGAGACCACGTAGTCAGGATGAGTTACATCAGGGAGAAGATTGAGCACTTCTTGCACATAGTAGATAACATGATGATTTACCGGAAGTGTTCCACGAACAATGTCATGAAGATATTTCTCAATTGATTCCAACTGTGATTGAAGCCCTCTCAGTCCCATTAATTGATCAGTGATGCGCTGAGAAAGAGTTCCAGCAGTTTGATCCTTGATATCTCTTAGCAAGTGTTCCACTCCAACTTCTTCTGCTTCCTCTGCTCCAATATCTGATGGTACATGTTCGAAGGTTTTAATTGGCGGAGTTCCATCCTATAAAAAAAGCAGTTTTAAAGAGTAGTTCAATTGGTTTAGTTGAAAAAGAACATTACATCGTGCACTTCTTGAACTTCAATGTACGCTTCAGTTGGTAATCCAATGTTTTTGGGCTCAGCATCGATGATCACCAGAACTGGATTGGGGCAGAATCTTTTCAGTTGTTCATTGATGGCAATATCATTCTGAAAATTCAAGTAAAATTAATCATTAAATTTCTTACGATTGTACATATCATTGGAACTAAACGTTAAAATGGGTATCAGAACGGATATTATCGTTTCATGAATATTCAGAGCCCAGTGATCCGTATGCAGTCATCACAAACCCAGATTTCAGGTGGAGGAATAGAACCAGGAAGTGTTTGCGCGCAGACAAACGCGCTAGCCACTACACCACATCCCTGCGTCTCTCCTCCTCCCTCAAACGTCCCTCACATACCTTGTGGAGTTTCGGCCCAGTGTGATACCATCCGACGATTTTTTCTTTTGCTGCGACCTACAAAGTTTGTATGCATTATTTTTACCGCATTATACTGACTTTATGAATCTTTTTCATGAATTTAAACTTACTTTGTAGAACATGCCGTACATACTCTCCAAGTAATCCATGTCAAGGAACCATGTGTTTTTATCCTTGTCGTCTTCATCGAAAGGAACTGGAAATAACAATTTGTACCAAAATGTTCCCTTGGATAAGATATCTAAAGCATACCAGCGAAACTGTTTCCGATATCCAAAGTCTTATCCTTTTTCATAGAGCCCAAAAGGACTCCGACAACGCGCTTTACACTTTGGGTTTTGCTCACTCGATTGAAATGGTCAACCACACTGAGAAGAACCAGTGGATGAACTGTCACCTTGAACAAAAACAGCTTAAACGTACTTTCAGTAACACCCACCTTGTTTACTGGAAGGTTTGCATGAACATTCCCAAGACAATGATGTGCTCCTGCTTTTTGTTTCAAAACATCCACAGCTTTAACAGTAGCAACACCTCCATCGTTGTTAGTTGGGGCCATTTTACTAAAAATGTATTCTTATTAACATTTTTGAACCTCTGAACCAATAAGTGAACGTTTTCAACAGGCGATACATTTTCGAACAAGGGATATTTTGACAAATGTAAATATAATGGTAAAAAAATATATCAGAAAAGCTTTCGAATGCAATGTCTACAAAATCGCAGTTATGACGTTGATTTGACAGAACCTCACAATTTGATGTTTTCCCGCTGTTGGTTTTGAAAAAGAAATATCATCGTTTAAAGGCGCACACATTTTCCTCTCCCATTCCTCGTAAATCGACAACGTCGTGTCGAGACCCGCTCCGTATTTCCACCCATTTTTCCGTTTTTCATGGCAATTGTTTGCAAAATCCGACGATTTGATTTAGAAACAAGGAGGGAACGGGAATATTTTCGAATCTTTTGGAGTTTCACACCTTTTTTTTCAATACTTTTTGAAGCACACCTTTTTTTTCAATACTTTTTGAAGCACTAACGTCATCTATATTTCGGTATTGATGCAAGTATGAACTAAATTTTTTCAGGGTGCACCATTCTTCTCTGCCTCTGAAACACCAAAAAAATTAAATTTGAAATGCCGTTTTATGAAGTTAGCATGATCACTCGATCACTGTCGAAGGTATTTACATGATTCGACTTGGTACTGTCACAGTATTTTTCGATTGTTCAGTGGCAATTGAAGATGTCGGATAAATGTTGGGTTTTTGAAGGGTAAATTTTCAGCCGGATCTAGTGAAAGCACTAACTCGTGCAGGGAATACTCTTCTGGATCACGGGGCAGTTATCGAGAAAGTTGAGTCTTTGGGACACCGAGATCTTCCCTACAAACGACTTGCCAAACAAACCAATGAGCCAGTTTACGCTTCAAAGTATTTCATCAAAATATGACTGAAAAATAAATCCCTCTTTTCAGTTTCTTCCTGTTCAAAGCACATATGTCACGAGAAGCAAGACAGAAAACAAAGTCAATTTTAACTCATGACTTAGATACTGTAAGTCGTTTAGTTTTTGAAAATATAGTTTTCAATAGCGCGTTTGAAGGTTCAAGTGGACTTGATTCAAGTTGATACTATGCCATCACCTAAAGTCGAGTGTAACCTTGAAGAAATCTTGAAATCACCAGCTGACAGACAAGCAGTCCGCGATCTACGTGAAAATCAGAAAATGGGTCATTTCACTCGACAGATGATTTATAAACGAACGGAAAAGGAATGGAAGAGTATTCCAAAAAGTTATCTGATCGCTCCACCAAGGCCATAGACTGTTTTCAATGCGATATTACGGGTCGAAGATCACCAACAGTGTACTTGTGGTCACGCTTTCCGATAATTTAATCAGTCGAGTCTACATTTTCGTACTTTGTCTGATCAGTTTTTTTGACTGTCTAGAGTTTTTTACATTAGTATTTAGTGATATATATTTTTCTGTTGAACCTTATTTTTATAAATTTCGATTTCATGAATTCCTCCTTGTTTACTCTTCTCAATTGTTTTCTAATTGGTCATTGCACCATGTGATATCTTTCATCTTCAGAAACATGTTTTTGTCTTAATTTATACAGAAAGTTTATTTTGTTAATCATCAGAATGACTGCTGCTACTGCCAACGGTAACCATGCCATCGAGGATCCAGTTGTTGTGAAGACGCAAGCTGTATCTCCTCCAGTCGATGAGTCTACTCTTTTCGAAGAGCTTTATCAAATGAAGTGTTTTCGCACTGGAGAGTTCTATCTAAAGTCGGGACAAATGACCCCTATCTACATCGACTTGCGCCGTATTATGAGCTCACCACGTGTTCTTCGAATGGCTGCCCAAGCTATGTGTGATAAAGTTGTTGCAAAAAATATCAAGTTCGATTATATCGTCGGAGTTCCATACGCTGCTCTTCCCCTAGCGACGGTAATTAATTCTAGCCGTACCTTTTCTTAATCTGAATTTTCGTATTTTACAGCTCGTTTCTGATATTCTCAATGTACCTATGCTAATGAAAAGAAAAGAAGCTAAGGCTTACGGAACGAAACAACTCATTGAGGGAGTTTATCAACCAGGTGGCACTGTACTCCTTGTTGAAGACGTTGTAACATCTGGAGAATCCATTCGTGAGACCGCGGAAGCTATTCGAAAAGAAAATCTGAAAGTCATGGACGCTATCGCTGTTTTGGATAGACAGCAGGGTGCGACTGCTAATCTGGCAGAGGACGATTTGAATTTCCTCAGGTGAGTGTTAGCTCTCTACCAGTTCGAAAAAGTTGTGAAACAAAACGAGAAGACAATTTTTGATATTTTATTTGCTCGATTTCAAGTCAACGCAGAAATCCTGCAAACCGCATATAATTTCCCCTCTTAAAAAAGTTTCAGCTCAAATCTTAAAGTTGAAAATATTCAAAATAAATATAAATAAAAAAATTCGTTTCAGTTTTTTGACGATGGAAGGAATTCTTGACGGCCTCATCACAAAAAATGAGATGACTGAAGACCGGAAGCAACAAATCATCGAGCATCTTGCCAAACCATTCTAATCGCCCTGTTGCCCCCAATTTGTTCTGTTTTGATTGCATTTTAGTCTTGTTTTTTTCAAGTTTCAATAAAATATCTTGTTAATCAGTGCACACGACACATCGTTCGGAAATCAATAAACAATTCTGTGTTGATTCCTTCTTCCCATTGTTTTTCGTGTAGCAAGTTTTGTGTGAAATTTTTAGAGCATTCTATCATTTCCGTGTTTTCATCCGTTTCATTGATCAGTTCTAATTTGTGATAGTCTGATTATGGTTGTCCCAGTCATCCCCGTTCCCAACATTTTTTTAAAGCATAATTACAAATAAAATTATTTTATTGTTAATGGCTTTGGCAACTAAAAAAAACTGAAAAATTCTCAAAAAAATGAAGAATTCTTTCGAAAATGGAAAATAGATTAACCAATGCCGGTATAATACGTTTGAACAGATGGAATGTACTACAAACCTCCCAAATTTCAAAAAAGAGTTAAACATAGTTGTTGCGTCTTTGCTGTTGAATAACGACTGGATTTGATCCGCCCGTTGCACGCTCATTGTTTTTCCATGAGAGGAACTTGAGATAACAGTCGAATCCATATGCACACATTGCACCAAACGCGAAAAACTGAAGATTTAAGACATTGAACTCATTATGCTGATTAAAAAAAACTTACCGCAGCAATAGCCCAGGCGAACGTTCCCCGGAATTGAGAAGAGGCAACAGCAAGAACACAAGCAGCAATGAAGAAGAACACAGTCCAGGCAAAGCAGTAAACCATTTCCTAAAGATCAGATTTGTTTTATAATTCTGGACCGATTAACTAACACAAACAATCCAGTTAATCGATGGCAAGGTGTCTACGACTCGGAAAAGATAGAGAGTCAGAAGAGATGTCGTCACGAAGATTCCAACAGATGAGACAAAAGTGGCCCATCCAACTCCTGAAAAATATATTATATTGATCAGTGTCCATAAAAAAGAAACCTGTATAGTAAGCAGGACCCATCATCACAAACAGGAAGGTAAGAAGACACAAAACGATGCACACGACTTTCATGATTCCACCCAATGTTCGGATGTATTCACAATCCAATCGTGGGAATTCGATCTGGAATGAAAATGATTTTTGACTGAAACAAATCAGTGAATAGAAGTTAGGTTTAAACCTTCCATTGTTATTAATATTATTATTTTAGTTGGAAGATAATTTTCTAGGAAGTTAGCATTTTGAAATACTAGTAAACGAGGCCCTGGCGGGCCTTCCCGAGCCCTGTCATCGTGTCTTTTAGAATCAATTTTTCAGATCAACCGAATTGAATGTGATAGAACTTGACGAGCACTACAAAATGGCACTATTCGGGAAACTGGATCTTGTCTATAAACAAAGTTACAGATGAAACGGACCGGAAAAAAGGCGGGGCGCGGCCCGGCCCGGATCAGCAACTTCATGGATTATAACTTAAGTTTGTTGATAGACAAGATAGAGTTTCACAAATAGTACCATTTTTTAGTACTTATCCAGTTCTATCTTACCTGATTCAGTTCTAGATCTAAATCAGGGCTCGGTTCATAACAACGGATTTTGTGATTTGAAAAATATTAATTCCTAACTTACTCTAACTGCTGGTCCATCGTTCGAAATATATTCCGTCGTTTCCACAACTGTAGTAGTTGTCTGATATCTTGGAGAATCGTACATTTCCAGCTTTTCCCTGTTTTTCTTTGAGGGTTCTTCGTCCTGAAACAATATACGAATGAGTCATCACAACACAGCCCTTGTTTCTATGAATTCAGTATTTCAACATGAGAACATCAATAGCTTTTGGAAAAGACAACAAAAACAACAACATCCGAAAAAATCAAACAATCTTTGAAGCGAAAAGAGGAAAGAAAAGATATCCGCCCCCGTGATTGCCTCTGTGCTCTTTTACACCCGAAGGAGAAGGAAAAAAAGAGATAGAGGTGATCAGCTAGGAGAGAATGGAAAGATGAAAAAGAAGAAGCGATTGAAAGACAGATGTTGAAATTACGAAGAGGACCTGGAGGAAAGAAAAGAGGTAGAGAGAAAGCATCCGGGTGAAAAAAAAACAACCACTGCATAGTTAACCAGAGATAACAGATTCAGAGAATGATCCGAAAACCGAGTAAACAGAAAATCTCCAAACGATATTAGTTAGTTCAAACTCACTTGAAGAATATTTGTTGGATCCAATGTAATTATATCCGATTTTTGAATCGGCGGAGGCAACGGAGGTGGACTTGGAGCTTCGATTGATGGCTCGTCATTCTCTGAAGCTTCTGGATTCAAAGTTACAGTATGGGAAGATTGTATACTGTCCGCAACTGGGTCAAGTGTTATTATCGATACACTGTCACCTGAAAGAACTTTTTTTGTGAAAATGTTGTATTGAAGTTTTCCTAAAGTTTCTAAATTCTTCTTGTATTATAGCAGAATTTTAAGTTTGAGATCTAACAAGAAAACACTGATATGGATTATTTTGTTAACAAAATATCATAGGTCGAAGGAGTCATTTAGAAATGGAATGAATTATCCAACCGACTGCTTCCCGGATAGGGGGAGCGAGAAGGTTTAAAAAACCAAAAACGAGGTTGCTAGGTTTTCAATGGGCAAATAAGAATTTGCTACATCGGTACTTGATATTTCTGTTTCGGGGTTCAAAGTTCCCAATCCGAGGGTACAAAGTTCAAGAGTGCTATAATTCTGAGGAGCTACGGTTAAGAAAAACATTTGCAACATTTTGGATACCAAAATATAATTCTAGTGTTAAAAAATACAGTAATCTTTTTCACTCACTAGTATAAGAGATATCCGGATTCCGGATCCCGTATTCCGGATCCCGGATCCCGGATTCCGTATTCCGGAAATTTTTCATTTCTGCCGATTTCGGAATCCGGATTCCAAGAAAATTATTTTATTCCCGATTTCAAGCATATTTGTTAAATTGCAAGAATTCTCTGTCTTTTTTGAACTTCCGCATTAAAAATGGAAAAATATAGCCCGATATGTGTTTTTAGAACTTTTCTGTCCATTAGGAGAACTCAAAATTCCGGATTCCGTATTCCGTATTCCGGATTCCAAAAAAAATGTTCATTTGTCCGGATTCCGTTACAGTAATAAAAAAAACAGAAAATGAGAGGGACTAGTAATCGAAAATGAAAAAGATTACTGTAGGGGAGAACAATCAAAAATGATTAATGTACTCTTTTTACCCCAGAATTAAATTTTTGTATCCAAAAAAGTTCAATTTTTCAGTGGAAGTTTGAACACATCCGCTATTTTTTTTTCTTAAAATGTGGTTTTTTGTATTGGAACTTCGATTTAATTATTTAATTGATTTCTGTGACCCAAAAAGTTACTGTAGGTTTTCGTAAAAGTTGAAAAAATCCACACATGGTTACTAACAGAATGGTATCCTTTATATTGTTTTCAATGAGATCCTTTCCTGGCTTTTTAAATCAATTATTCATTCAAATGATTGAGTATGAAAAGTGACCAAAAACTTACCATTGGTCATGCTGAAGTTGACAAAGACAGACACAAACAAATGCGTCGAAACACACAAATTTCTGCTCCTCTTTCCCTTCTGAGACAGTCTTTTGTCCGAAATTTCTTGTTCTGTTTGCTCCTCGACTTCTTCTTTTTATTCTCTCTTGTTTTTATCTTTGTTTCGCTTTTTGACTATTGTTTCGTTACAGATCTACAAAAGTTTTAGGTAGCTTTAAGGTTGCTACCAAGATAAGGAGAACAGTATATTTTCATGAAAGGAAAAAAGATGGAACCGGATTCAACTGGGCACAAGGTGAACAACTCAGAAAAAAAGGAAAATAGAACATATGACTGTTGTATGGCATTTCAGGTGAATATCAATCCAGATTCACTTGAATAGAAAGAGGTGGCAAAAAACGAGGGTATTTGAATGAAGCAATGGGAATCGAAACTGTAGCTAAATCTGGATTATTTATCAAACAATTTCAGAAAGAGGGCAGACGGAAATTCAAATTAAAATGGGATGTTTTCTGAAATGAATAATGAGCATTCACTCTTCCCACCTGATGTGTTCCACCCATTATTTTCTACATGCGTTCTTCTTTTTGTTCTTTTTTGTCGAAATACGATAGGTGCCGACGACCGAAAACGACACAATAGGATTTGAACACATTAGGAGACACAAGAGAGAAAAGAAGAAGAAACCTTTAATGGAAAGAAGCAGGAAACCTGCCCCACAAAAAATAATGGAAAAATTGAGCTCTATGGTTTGAATGAGTGAAACATTTTTAGTGATTGATCTCTTGTGGGTACAGTTATTCGAGTCACGGGCTGGGTCCACCTGATAATCTATTCTGCCCGGCCCTGTTGGATTAGTTCAGATTTTGAAACTTCAAAGTTCTGAAGTTTTTTGAGTTTTTGGAAAAATTTTGAAAGTCTCGATACTTTTATTTTAAGGGATGGAATATCTTGAGAGTTTTTCTTTGAGGTGAAATTCAAAAATTGTTCTTCAAGAATTTTAAGAAAATCAACTGCCCTGGGCGAAAAAGTATTTTTCGACCGGTCCGCCGGGCCTAGTCATCAAGTCAGCCTGAAATTAAACAAGAAAGAGTAAAGGTTCGCTCAGAGATACTAGACGCTAATGAATGAGACTAAATGAATGAGTCATTTATATGATTTCAGGAAACTGGACAAGATAACAGAGAATACCGTAAAACCTGTGATAGAAAGGTCTCTAGCTTTTAACTTTGAGCCACTTTATCTCAGTTCCTGTCAGTAATATAATAGTTTTGTCAATTAAAAAATTGTTTATCATAATTTCATGAACATTTTATCAGTGGACAGATTTATCATATCTTGCATAGGTGCCAAGAAAAATGAGCTCAAACTTGACAGAGCAGGGGGCCATTCTATTACAGGTTTCACGGTATGTGAATTGAGGACTTGATATGTTCTTTGTTGACTTTCTGGCATTTCCTCTATGGAGGCTATACCTTTGCACGGTGTTTTTTCCGGGACGTTTAAAAAAATATTTTTGAGTTCGCGCATTTTTTTTGGCATGCAGACCGTTCTTAGCAACTCGGCCGTTCAAATTAAAGCATGTGCGTCGATACTCAGAGCGGTCATCTATGGTATTCGCGTTAGAGAGCATTTACTTTACGTCCTGAAAAAAACACCGTGCCTTTGTATATTTTGATGTTACTCATTGACTAGAATTAACGGTTCTGAACAGTTAAAAATGACAAAGCGGAATAAAAATGTTTTATTTCAGTAAAAAAGTTCTATCAGACAATTTTCCGAACTTTTTCAGCACTGCATATCTTCTGAAAATAAATACAGTTTTTTAAATATTCTTCAGAATTGAAATTACCTTGGTCTCCAAACAATTGCTGATTCTTGATTTTCATCTCACGAATGTTGGTGAGTCTATGTCTCAGTTGATCTGCCAAGACTGTCATTTCAGTCGAGTTCTGCCGAATCTGCTCTTTTCTCATTTTGAGAAATTCTATCTGGTTTTCAAGTGATTTCATATCTGAATCATGTGATTTTTTCCAGTTCATCAAATCATTTGCCACTCCTTCAATTTGCTGAACTGACTTCTGTTTGCGCTGAATAAAAATCAATTTTAAAAGTGATACAATTCTTTGTTGATCTTACAACATAATTTTCCCTCTGAATTTTCTCAATTATCATTCCAACATCAATGAAAGATTGCAGATCGGAACACTGTAATTTGAGTCTATTAACAAGTGTTAACACTCTTCAAAAACCTCTTTATTGTGACTGTTCTCTTTTCTAGTTGATCCCCACATTTGAGACATTCCGGCTCCAGTAGTTTGCGTTTCGAAATGAATTTGTTCTTGAAAATAAAAACAAGACACTGGAGTTTCACTGCTTTATTCAATAAAATTGATTTTAATGACATAAAAATTTTATAAAAATCTTTGGGAGCTTGCTTGAAGTTGAGAAATCTTATGTCTGGTTTTTCCCGACTTTTTTCATAAAGTTTTAGTTTTCAAAATACTCTTCGATTATGTTCATATACCAATTAGAGAAAAGTTTTTCGGGGAATCCAAATAAATCCCCATATTTACTTATGAACCGTCCGTAAATCTTTAAAAAATATCTTATCATCCTAAACCAAAAGATACCTGAAAACAAAAACCCTGGAAGTCTAATTAGTATCTACTAGTACTCTCAGATCTCATGGAGAGGCATACTTTGGTTATCCAAAAAATATGAAAGCTGGGAAACAATTTAATGGTTGGCTTTTTTAGTCAACCATTAAAGCTCTAATGAGAGGCCTTCAAAATTGAGATTTGGATAAAATTTGCTTAGACCCTAAATCTGGCACGGTATTTATATTGAAGGGAACATAAATGGTAGCCTAGAGTAGTGCCAGTCAAGTTCCATTTCTAGGAAATTCTTGATTAAACTCCCTAAACTCAGTCACGAATATGTTCAAAAATCGTTTTATTTGTCAAATAAAAAAAAAGAAAAAATCAAGAAACATCATCTTCAGTTGACAAAAAAAGAAGTTACAGTAATCCATGCATCATCTTTGAAACCGAAACTATTATATTGTCTTGGGACTTGGGAGACCACTTGGGAGATCATCGGATTTAATGAGATTTTCATAGAAAATATGATTTCCCAAGTGGCGCCAAAACACCACGCCGCACTTGCAAAGCGATGGGCGGAGCGTCGGTGGGGGGAGACGGGAATCAAAGTACGCAAACACCGAGTCTCACTTTTTTTATTCCGACAATATTTCTCGTTTTTCTAATACTCTGAAATGAAAAAATAGTAAAAATATACATGTTCGACATTTTCGATGAATTTCCGAGTTCTGCCAAAGAAAGCGTGTTTGACGACGTTCAAAATTGTGCACGGGGGTAAAATCGGGTACATGGATTTGAATCGAGATTTCCCGCTTTTTTCAGTCGCGAGCGGTCGAAATTTCGCTGCGTAGCGACTCACTTAACGTTAACTACACTGCGAGGTTGATACTGAAATCTGCCATCCACACACGCGCCGCGCGGCGATTTCAGTATTTATAGCGCGATTGTCCTGTGTGAAAGATTTTACCGCCGTGATTGTGGGCTGCGTGTTAGAGGTGATTATCCGATGCGAGTTGGTCAGAAATTTAACTGATTTTCTTCGAAACAATGTTTTTCGAAAATAATAACTTTCGCACCAAAACTTACAAAGGGGCCTGCGACAAGTATTGCAACTTTTCAATTTTTTTTCAAAGGAAATTAGTTGAAACAATGATTATGATTATCTTTAGGTATTGTTATTCAGTTTCAGATGTATGTGGATGTGCACCTTCCCTTGAAATAAACTGAGTTTTGGATGAACTGATCGGGATGTTATTTGAAAATTTGTCGTTCCCTCCATTTTGAATGAAACCGCGCCGCACTTGCAAGCTGCTCCGCCCACAGCTGGACAAATGTCGCACTCTCTCTTTTATTATTTTTCTCGGTATTTTCCTGTTTTCATCCGAACTTCCGCTACTGTCCTTAGGCTATTCAATTTTTTTTTCTTTTTCAACTTCCTCCTCTCGTACCTATTTGTCACCCTTCGTGCTTTTATTGCGAAATCGCTCACAATCTGATTTACTTTCCTTCCAAAAACACGATATTTACTCCAACAAACATTATTTTCAGAGTCAAATCTCTTCTGGGGAACCATGAAGCATCTCACTGCCTCTGAGGTTCGTTCGACGTTCATCGAATTCTTCCGTGAGAAGAAAAACCACACCTATGTTCATTCATCGTCGGTTATCCCACACGATGACCCAACACTGTTGTTCGCCAATGCTGGAATGAACCAGGTTAATTTTATTTATTTTTATAGAAATTAATAAGATTTATTTTGTAGTTCAAACCACTCTTTCTCGGAATTGCTGACCCAAACAGTGACTTGGCAAAACTGAAAAGAGCTGTTAACACCCAAAAATGCATCCGAGCTGGTGGAAAACACAACGATTTGGATGATGTTGGAAAGGATGTCTACCATCATACATATTTTGAGATGCTTGGAAATTGGTCATTCGGAGACTACTTCAAAGTAAATCGTTGATTTTCGGTAGCAATATTATTTAATTTTTTCAGAAAGAGATTATCACATGGGCCTGGGAACTCCTTACTACTGTTTACGGAATTCCAGCCGAGCGTCTGTACGTTTCAGTTTTCGGAGGAGATGAGGCAAATGGGGTTCCAGCTGATTCCGAAGCCCGCGAGATTTGGAGGTCTGTTGGAGTCCCAGAGGAAAGAATTTTGAACTTTGGAATGAAAGACAACTTCTGGGAGATGGGAGATGTTGGACCATGCGGTCCCTGCTCTGAGATTCATTATGATCGAATCGGAAATCGTGACGCCTCTCATCTTGTCAATGCCGATGATCCAATGGTGGTTGAAATCTGGAATCTCGTCTTTATTCAATTCAATCGTGAGGAAGGAGGAGCTTTGAAATCTTTGCCAGCCAAGCACATTGACTGCGGTCTTGGACTTGAGCGTTTGATCGCCGTAATGCAAGACAAGACCAGTAACTACGATACGGACATTTTCCAACCAATCTTCGAGGAAATTACCAAAAAAAGCGGTGTTCGCGCTTACACTGGACACATTGGAGACGAAGATAAGGACGGAGTTGATATGGCGTACCGTGTTGTGGCTGACCACATCAGAACTCTTACCATTGCACTTTCTGATGGAGGGCGTCCTGACAACTCGGGAAGAGGTTATGTTCTTCGCCGTATTCTTCGTCGTGGCGTTCGTTATGCTACTGAAAAATTAAATGCTCAGCCCGGATTCTTCGCTGCCCTAGTTCCTGTTGTTATCTCTATTCTTGGAGACACTTTCCCGGAACTCAAGCGCGATCCAGTCACAGTTATGGATATTATTAACGACGAGGAGAAACAATTTTTGAAGACATTGTCTCGTGGACGTGTTCTCTTCCAACGCGCCGTCGATTCTCTTCCAGCCGGAACAAAAACTTTCCCAGGAGATATCGCATGGAGATTATACGATACCTACGGATTCCCGGCTGATTTGACCCAGTTAATGGCTGAAGAAAAGGGACTTTCCGTGGATGAAACTGCATTCGAAGACGCTCGTAAGAAGGCTATCGAAACTTCTTCGGCTGGAGCCGGCAAGTTCCGCGACACTCTTGATTTGGATGTTCATGCTTTGGCTGAATTGCAACAAAAGGGAATTCCAACCACTGATGATTCACCAAAGTATGCTTATTCATTCACCGGAGAAGGCTCTGAAGCTGTCTACAGTGAGTGATTCAAATTATCGTCTGTATTAGTTTTTGTAATCTTAATCCATTTCAGAATTCGAGCCATGTGTCGGAAAAATTCTTGCTATCCGTCGGGACGGCAAGTTTGTGGATCAGCTAGTTGCTGGAGAAGAGGGCGCCGTCCTTCTCGATCGTACCAACTTCTATGCCGAACAAGGAGGTCAAATTTATGACGTTGGAGTCTTGAGTAAATCAGGCGATGAGTCAAATGAATTCAACGTTAGCAATTGTCAAGTTCGCGGAGGATATATTGTTTTGGTTGGTTCCGCCGAAGGCAGCTTCTCTGTTGGAGATAATGTCAATCAACGTTTCGATGAGGACCGAAAACAATTGATCATGAAGAACCACACAGGAACACACGTGCTCAACTATGCTTTGCGCAAAGTTCTAGCTGATTCTGATCAAAAGGGATCTCTTGTTGCTCCGGACCGTATGAGATTCGACTTCACTAACAAGGCCGCTATGACTCCAGAACAAGTCAAGCAAGCTGAAGAATACGCCCAACAGTTGATTAATGCTAAAGGACAAGTTTATGCTAAGAATTCTCCTCTTGAAGATGCAAAGAAAATTAACGGCCTTCGTGCGATGTTCGATGAAACTTATCCAGATCCTGTTCGAGTTGTTGCTGTTGGAACTCCAGTTGAACAACTTCTTCAGAATCCAGAAGCCGAGGCAGGACAGAACACAACCGTCGAGTTTTGCGGTGGAACGTAAGTCTTCAATACTCTAAATTCTCTAGAAAAACGTGTTCATTTTCAGTCATCTCCAAAACGTTTCACATATCGGTCGGATTGTTATTTCTTCTGAAGAAGCTATTGCTAAAGGAATTAGACGTATCGTCGCCTTGACAGGCCCTGAAGCCGATAGAGCTATCGCTAGAGCTGAGCGCCTCGAAGCCAGACTCGTAGACGAATCAAAGCATGCCAAGAATCAGGAAATTCTCTCCAACAAGGACAAATTCAAGGAGCTTCAAAAGAAAATACAAGAGATCGTCGATGAGGCCAACGGTGCTCAGCTTCCATACTGGCGCAAGGATGCACTTCGGAAGAAGGCCAAGGATGTTCAGAAGGACATGGATGGTTACTCAAAAGCCCAACAAGCTGCCGTTGCCGAGAAAGTTCTCGGAGAAGCTAAAGAACTCGCCGCTGCCGCAGAACAACCACCTGTGCTTGTACATGTATTCGCATCAAACGCTAACAGCAAAGCCATTGATAACGCTCTGAAACTGCTTAAGGACACTAAGGCTGTGATGGCATTCTCAGTAAATGAAGATACCGGAAAGGTTTTGTGTCTTGCTAAGGTTGACAAGGTAAGTCGACAAAAAACATCTATTGTCGGATTTAAAAAAGTGACACCTGAAAATCTCGGAGACAGCGCTCATGTCGATTTACGAGGGAGAGGAGCGAAAACGGATAATGTAGATAACAAATTTATTCATGTGAATTTAGTGGGATTTTCTCAACAAAATTTTGATTTCTTGTTATAAAAATGATCGTAGCATCTCCAGAATCTATTTTTAAGCAAAAAAACTAAAATTAAACACGAAAGTAGCTCGAACGAGCCGAAATTCTGAAATATTACGCTTTTGCCGCACTTTTTCGTAGATCAAAAAAAGCAAAAGTTCTCAGGTGTCACTTTTTTTAATTCGACAATAGCTGAATATATTGTTGAATTTAAAAAAGTGGAACCTGAAAAATTTCGCGGGCGGTCAATTTTTGAGGCCTTGCTCCAGAAACACTACGGTAGTAAACGAAAATTATTTCTGTAAATTTAGTAGGATTTTCTGGACAAAATTCAGATTTCTCGGTATGAAAATGATCGCTAGCGCCTCTAGAATCTGTTTTTCATCGAAAAACTGAACTTCAATGGGAAACTGACTCGAACGAGCCGAAAGTCTGAAATATTACGTTTTTGCCGCGCTTTTTTGTAGATCAAAAAAAGCGACGCCTTTCAAATTCTCAGGTCCCACTTTTCTTAATTCAACAATAGTACATTTTTGCGTTACAGAGCTTGGTCAGCAATGGATTGAAAGCCAACGAGTGGGTCAATGAGGTGTGTACCATTCTCGGAGGAAAAGGTGGTGGTAAGGAAGCCAATGCTCAGTTGACCGGAGAAAATGTGGACAAGTTGGATGATGCTGTGGAGCTGGCTCAGAAGTTCGCACTTGCTGCTATCAACTAATTGTTTCTCTAAATTCATTCAAGGTGTCTAAAGTTATTATATTGCTTTCATATTTCATATCCCGATTTTTCCTCTATTTATTGTTGTCTGTTGCATTATAGTTCTCGCTCCCCCCAGTCATTTATATCTTTTCCCTATTGGTTTTTGTTGGTGTGTTGGAAATATTTATGCAGTAAATAGAGAGGCAAAACATCTTTTCAAAAACTCTTTCAACGAAAACAGCAATTTTGAGTGGGTTGGGGGTGACAAGGGACAGCTGTTTCTCATGATCAACACCTTTCGACCGATTTCAAAAAAGCGAAGAAGTGCGCTTTCCGTCTCGTCAACCAACAAGTTCTAGAAGATTCCGAAGCTGTGCCACGTCATTACACAACAGCTAAATGTCTGGACAGATCCAATTTGCGGTGATGGGCGAGCAGCAAATTATTACAACGGGGAAGAGGGGACCGGCGGAACAAAAACTGAGAAAAAAGAAAGACGAACGGCAGGATTGCATTTTATGATGGAATCCAGATGGATGTGAATGTTTTGGACAGAAAGTGGGACATTCTGGAAGTTCAATGAAGCCATCAAATAAAAAAATAAATTCATTTTGAGAAATGGGACTCCCTGGTTTATTAGTCACAGCTTTAAATCTAAAAATTGTAATCCGAGTTAAAGAAAACTTTCATAAGTATGTCGAAACTCCACTTTACACTAAAAACTCTGAGCCAGACCTTTGGTCCGTTCTTTTCAGAATGATCTTTTCACCAACTTTTTTTTTTCAAAACACCACGCCACCGAAGCTCCCCCGCACCTTCTCCAGCTATTTCATCCAAGAGAATCCAGACGTCCAAGAGCAATTGGCTCCCCGGGAGCATCCCGAAAGTGGGAGGAGCTTGAGCATCTGATAAAAGAGAGAGTAGACGAGAGAAGAAGCTCATTGACACTCAGAAACACACACACTCCAATCGCCATGGCCAACCGCACCACTGCCGGAGGAATCGGATTCGCTGTCCGCCAAAAGGTAAATTTTTAGGAATCCGCTGATAATGCTTTTATCAATTTGTTTTCAGCAAGACTCCAAGTTTGTCAAGGAAGAGGCTACTCTTCTTCTCGAATGGATCAAGAAGTGCTCCGGAGAGAACATCTCCACTTCCGGAGAACGTGACAACTTCCACAACCTTCTCAAGGATGGAACCCTACTTTGCAAGTGAGTTATCATATCGATTCTTTCTATATTTCTCTAATAAACTGTTCTAGGGTTGCCAACGGGATCGAGGCTGGATCAGTGAAGAAAATTCAGAAGCCAATCTCTACATTCGCTTGCATGGAGAACATTAACGCCTTCGTGGAATTCGCCAAGAAGCAAGGAGTTCCAAATGAGGAGACATTCCAATCTGTCGAACTTGTCGAAGGACGCGATCTTTTCTCCGTCTGTGTCACCCTTCTTTCTCTTGGCAGAGTTGTGAGTTTCAACATAGAATCTGGAAAATCTGTGCAAAATTTTGTTTAATTTTCAGCTCCAAAAGGCCGGAAAGACCAACCCATTCGCCTAAACGTTGCAACATGTTCAATCGATTCCAACTCCCGCTTTCAAATTGATTTTCCTTATATGGCCAAGCCCCTTGCTTTCCTATGTCCACAACATACCTTCTCATGCCCTAATTATAAGATTTCTGTCGCATCCTTCTTGTTGTAAAAAAAACAAAAAGAAAGATAAACGGCCTCTGATTTAAAATCTGGAGATTTCTATGTCTCTGTTTCTTCCGAATTGTTTGTTGGTTGTTTGGTCAACAAAGTTCGGATGTGCTCCATCCCGATCACTTCATCTTCTTTCCTCTTCACCAACGGCACACGCAGCTGTTCCAGAGCGGTGTAACTTTTCTCAGATACTCTCCGAAAAGTGAATAATCTCCCACATTTCGGGTGTTTCTCAAAAACATTAATGGATTACTGGGGGCGAATGGCACTGGGCGTGCAGGGAGCTGCTGCGCAAAAATCAATCAAGGTAGAGCTAACAAGGGAATCAGGTCCACAGATCATCTTGAACAAAAATTTTGTTGGATATATCTGAATAGACTTTCAAGTACGCTGCGTTTAAAATTCCAAACCGTTTCCTACACAAGTTTCGAATCAAATTCAGAAATATCCGTTTTATGTTCATTACGGTACATACGTCGTACTGAGTATGAAGTTTTCTATTCACTCGGTGAATAAAATGTAAAATATGTCAGGTTGTAAAAAACAGGCTCCATTGATGGGATTCTGAGATTTTCTTTCAGGCTCAAAGTTTAAATAATGTTTAAGTAAAAATTTGGAATAAAGTTTCTCAGGGGCTTCGGATCTCCGATTTTGAAAAATTTCTGAAATTGTAGGTGGAGGATTCGTTTTTTAAAATCTACTTTGAGCTTTATTTTTTGTCATACCAGCCAGAATTCAGCAACTTCGAAAGATACTATGCCCGTTAATTTGTATTTCAAAAAGAGAATAATGACATAAACCGGAAATTCTTTGATCCAGTCGGTTTTTCGAGGAGTTCCGAAAGTCCGTTGACAGTCCGTCAACGGTCAGTCAGTTCTTTTTCGGCTGCCTGGTGATCTCATGCCAGAAAAATTAGTTTCCATCATCATTCTATATTCTAGTGGAAGAATGAAATATTGTTTTTTGGCTGATTTCGAATCAAAACTTTAACGTCGGTTTTTTAAAAGTTTGCTTTCGAATGGGTTCCTATTGTCCATCGACAGTCCGTCAACGACCCGTTAGTTGTCCTTCGGCTGCCAACTAGCAGTCATTCGCCAATTTGCGTCTCGGTAGCTTTCGTTTAGCAGTTTTTCGGAAGTTCTCATTTACCTGTGTTATGAACTGTTGAGTTGAACTTCAATAACATATTATGAAAAGTTATAATCATTGGTAAACTTTGTCTGCAAAATGTTCCATGTATTTTTTCGAAAAAACTTTCTTTGATGGCTTAAATACATGCCTATTTTTTTTACATTTTTCATTAATCTAAATTTCCTACCCGCAATGATCATCATGTCAAGTGATCATTCAACAAGCTCTACAACATTCATAACCTTCATTCTTTTCATCTTTTCTTCTTGTTTTTTAGGACTGCCCACCGCGTGGGAGGAGTATGTGGGTCAAATGAGCCGATTGAAAAAGTACCAGTGCATCATATCAACAAATGATATCAGTCGATAACTGGGTGAAAACAACAACAAAAAATGTGTTTTGAAAACGTTAGATTGATTGATTTTTGGTTCAGAAATTGCAAAAAAGAACCAACAAAACTCTTCTCAGGGTATTTCTGAATATTTGACATGTTGGGATTATTTATGAACTCTTCAAAGGGATCTTTGCTGCCATTGTTTTCTTCCCTATATGGTAATATTGACCAATTGGTCGGGACGTTTTCTCTTCAGATTGCGCTGTTCTTTTGTCGGCTGACGACGGCGGAGAGAGTATTACTGCTTTCGGCGGTGTCTGCTTTGAAGCGTGGCATATCAGAAAAAAGACAAGCAATCATGCAGAAGAATATATATCTACCAGATGATCATAATTGCCGTTTAAGTAGTTCTTTGCCCAATAAAGTCTTTAAAATATCTTTTGTTAGAAGATATAAGTTGGCTTATAAGTTCTGCTGCTTTAATTTTTTTCAGAAAAATCAGGGGTTGGAAGAGGTGTTGTCCTTCTCTAGTTTTGAATATCCGACATTATTTTTGTTTTTCAAGTTTCATTATCTTGATTTTCTTGCGTTTTCAGTTAATTTTTTCACCAACAAAAAATTAAAATTTCCTACTTTTTTGGGGAAAGGCAACAAAAAACTCGATGAAAAGCAGTGTCAAACGAGAAAATAAATACGGAAGATTAAAATATTGTTAGGTTACTGTAGTTTTCGTTGTGGGACCTTCAGTCACGGCCACCGCCGTCACACTTCGACAGCTTTTTCTGCCGTTAATTCATCTACATCCCAGTTTTATACATATTTAATTCCATTTTCTTTGTTCTCCTTTCCATTTCCATTTCTCCACAACTCCTACCCAATTTGAATTTCAAAACTGTTGTCCATCTTTTTGAAGAGAAAAAAGAAATAGAAGAAGAGGTTGCGAGCAAGACACAGTCCGCCAATCGTCCACTTTTCTCTTTTCTCTTCTTCTCCCAATCCTCTTCTCCTTCTTCTTTCGTCTTATTCCGTCTCTGCCTGTGCGTTTTCTTCTCACAAACACTTTTTTCTCTTCTGTCTCCTCTCACTCACTTTCTCTTCTTTTTTTCCAGCCCCATTTTCTCCGATAATTGTTCTTTCACTGTGTATGTGTTGTGTCTGTCCGGTTTGTTTGCCACCTCCTTTCCGTCCTTTTTCCCTCCTTTTTCCATATTTTCTGTTTTCCAGGTGTACTTTGCAAGTGATAACAATTGTCATTTTGTTCGTTTCCTAATCCAGCCAAGAATGTTACTTCTTCTTATTTTTCTTCGTCTCCTTCTTCTGCTACCATATCTACAATCTTGTCTCTCAGCAGACATTTTACGATAACGGACCAATCGTTGTAAGTAAGAGGCATCTGCCACGTCGCAAGTGATGTAATAGGCGAAAAATGAAGGATTACCAGAAAACAGAACCTGGATTACCAGAAGACAGAACCACCCATTCCTCTTTCTCTGCATGACATGGCAGATTTCACCTTCTAAAAGGTTGCAATTGTGTACTTTCCCTTTTGAAATCCCTTATCAACACGATGACTCAATACGTTTTGTTTTGCGACCCACATAACAAGCCCCGCCCATTTTCCCGCTGCGCCTCGTTTTCAGCCCGCCTCTTTTGCTGAAACATAGGGAATGATTTCATCACAGTTTCGAGCGACACATTGATTTATTGACAGTTGCGTTTGCCTACTGATTATTCATATAATTATTCTGCAATGGAAATATTTCGATAATAATGTGTTGAAAGTACTGAAAATTGCTGCTTTCAAATTTGAATTCTTCTGCGTCTTTTGTGTCCTTTCGTGTCTGTCGTCTTTTTATGTTTTCAAAACATACCGTAACCAGTGACGTGTAGTGTCGTCAAACGATATTTGAATCTCCAGATTCTGTTGACCGAAATATATTGTTGTTTGACGTCTTTCAAACAAATAAATCTTGTTCATTTGATATCAGTAAAAGGTACAACATAACCAGAAGATTTTGATTCTGGCTTCTGATTTGAATTCGTTTTCAGATCTTGTCTTCAATATGATTCTAGTCTTTTCACATGGTCCCAATCAAGACTTTGCAGGTTGCGACCGTGGACCAATCAGTCCGTTCTCTCGAATTTAAGCTCAGCGACCCAGAAAATGCTATTGCCACTAGACTGCCTAGGCTTACCTTTCCCAGAAGGACCCTAATCAAAATGCTGGGAGACTTGGTCCCAATTCAAACTTCTAAACCCACATTGTGTCACTTTTCCCATAATGTATTCTTACGAAAACCCTCGCACCCATCAATTATCCCATCAGCAGGTAGCTCTTTTCTGCATACTCATCGTTCTCAGAGTATAATTAACAGGGTGTTAAAAATACTCCTTCTGGCCACCTGTCGTTTCTTTGTTCACCATGGGACTCCAATCCATTCTATTCATGTTCACCCTCTTCAGCTCATCATATCTCATCAAATAACCAAAGCACACAACGGGCGGTGCAATTGGAGAAGATGACCACTCCCACTAGTACCTTTTCCATCAACCTTTCCTTTCTTTATCTTTTCTCTCTCTCTCTCTCTCTCTCTCTCTCTCTCTCTCTCACATACACACACACTCACTTTCTCTGTCTTCTTATTATAGTGGCCCTTGTTGCGTAATTTCTCGGTTGACCTTCTCCCCCTTTCCTCATATTATGTTTTCTCTTCTTTCTCCGCAACTGTTCGTTTCTCCCGTATTCCTCCGCAAGGTTCATTACGTTTTCCGCTTCATGTTCTCGATATACCGTCTTCTTTGAACACCTATATTAAATAACACAAGACCCTATCATTTTCAGAAATCCTTTATCCAATAGGAGCACAAAAATGGATCGAATGCCCGTCGGTCAACATCAACCACAGTATCCATCAGAGAATCAAGACTATTTCTACGATCCGGAAATGGCGGTTCGAGGAAACAGAAACCACGTTTCCGACATGCGTCGTCAGGAGGATCGTATGAATCGCGAGCTGATGTGGGAGGATCCAACTCCACTGGTCCCATTCTTCGCTACAGAACCACCATCATGGGCTGATATCCAGATTAGTGGAAGACCAATTCAGCGTCCATTCCACCGCTCACCAGCCAAGTTCAATACATCAACTTGGCAAGAAGTGAAGAAGGAGGACGTCTTCAGCACTATGGGAATGTGGGAGGCGCCACCAACAAAGAAGCAACAGCACCATCCGGCTTCTGTTCGCCAGCCACCACCAGCTCCAAAACACGACGTCTTCGAGAACATCGGAAAGTGGAATCCAAATGAGGTGCAACAAACTCCAAAAGTTGCTCCAAAATTCACTCCGATGTCTCTCAACATGATGATGACTCCAATTAATCGTGCACCATCGCTCGAGTCTCCAACGACTTCATTGGAATCCTCTCCCGAGGAAAAAAATAGCTGGACTAGCTTCGAGCTTCTTCTCAACCCAAAGTCGAGCCGCTCATCTGATTCTGGATCTGAGTACTCTTCTCCAATCGATCCTTACGGACACTGGAACTCAAACTTGCCAAAACACTGAACACTCCAACCCGATCTCCCACCCAATCAATTCAACACTCGGTTATTATCAATACAAAACGGATTCTTGGCCCCATTTTCAACCTCGATTCATCGATAGTCATACACTTTCTCTAATACGGCTAGTCATTATGTCAGGTGATATGCAATGCTGTTTCATTTCTTCTTGTTCTATTCCTTTCTTTTAACATTAGTCGAGCGATCTAGAACTTTTTGAGTCTTCTAGGCATTTTATCAGTGCAAGTATATTTTCACAATGGCTCAGAAAAGTCTGAATCAAACGGTTACAACTGTATAGCTGTTTGATTCTGAAATTTTCAGTACAGAGCCATTTATACTGTTCGGACCCTTCCAAAAAAACGGATTTTACTCGAATTCTGCACTTTGTAAGAATGCATGTTTTCGAAATTTCCGATGTTTTGCCTGCGATAGAAATTCAAATTGCCAGAATTCAAGTATTTATCCGTTTATGTAAAAATAACAACCTAACCAATACGCGTATCCAAATTTCCCAACAACTCAACCCCGTTGCCTTTTCTCACCCAAATCTAATCTTCTCATTTATTCTTCTTTACATGTATTTCTGCTAAAAACGGTTCCATCGTCCAAATCTCTTACCAATTTGTGATTCATGTCCTAATCCCCTGTTACCATAATCCCTGCTAGTATCTTCAAATCTCTCCTCTTGGGTTACCAAAACCTTGGCTGTGTGCAATGCCCTTTCTTCCCATCCAAATCTCTTTCTCTTCATCTTTTTCATTTCTCTCTCATCCTGTTACGATGTCATCACCCCGATCTGCTACTGTAGTCCCTTTTCAACCTCTAGATTTTTAATAACTTCTACGGTTCATCCCCCCCCCCCCTCCATAATCGATTCCTATCGCCTCTTCGCGGTCTCCGATTCTTCTCCTTTCTCTATCCATCACTTTACTTGTGATCCCACCGATGTGTTCTTTTTATTTCTGGTTTTGCCCTATAATGCCTTTTAATAAACATTCATTTTCTCAAAATCTCTGCTTGAGTTTGAAAAAAAGACAGATAGTGTAAATTAGAAGGTCCTCTTTAAAAGAAGGGCCCTTTGAGAGGAATTTGGAAAAAAAATAGAAAAGCCCTTGCACTAGAAGGGCCTCCCGTCCAAATCCGTTGTTTGAAATTGAACATTTCTGTAAAATGGCCGGAAAATGAAGGACTCCTGTAAATGAAGGGCTCTTCAGAGATACTTTGGAATATTAGCCGGCCCTTCTAATACAGGTTTTGAGGTAGACGTGCTTGGTCATAAACGAATGCTGGACACATTTCAGGCTTTTAGGTTTTCAGCTAACTGTTAATTTCTCCAGAGCTTAATGATAGCATTCATTTTAACATCTCGGAAACCAATTCACCACTTATTGAAAATATTAGAAAGATAAACAACAACAAAACTTTCAGCATATTAAATACTTTATTCTCAATGATGCATTCTTCCAATCTGATTTGATCGAGATCTCTCATAAATTTCCAATTCCTTCAAAAGTCTTTGTTTGGCTCTTTCTTCGTCTTGCTTCGAGAAGTTTCGTCGACGACGGAACAGAAGAATGTGTCTTTCAGGATTGTGAACCATGTAGTGCTCCCATCCCAGTGACTGAAATAATTCAAAAGTAAACTTATGAAGTCATCGTCAGATGATGTGACCTGTGTGACTCCAAGACGTCTCCACTCTCCTTCAGTCAGCAATTTATCTCTGGGAATTTGTTTGGCGAGTCCATGTGGAAGAATCACATGACGATATTCGTAATCATCATCTTCATATCGAGGAGAATAGTAGATGTCATCCATTTTTAGGGTTATTTCGGAACGAGACGAGTGCAAGAAAAATCAGCAATTCAATTCAAAAACAGAGATTCGTCTGTTTGTAGTTCCAAGGTTGAGTCCACGTTTTCAAAGGAGCTTTTGAAGAGAGTTTCCAGAGATTTACGGTTTCCCAAGAATGCGTTTACAGTGATACTCTTTCAAGTATTACGCAATTTTTTCTATACATAAAATTATCATCTTGAATTCAATTCAATTTATAAAGTCGACTTCCGATTTATAATATAGAATTGCTATGAGAAGGTATTCATAAAAAAGAAGCAGAGTAAAAACTTTATTATTGCCATTCTATTGTTTATTAGAATTTCCATCGAAAACAACACTAATTGAACTGGATGGAGTACTTCTGACCCGTTGATTGTATGCGAAAATACGGAATGAATAGCTGTGACGAGCGAAATTCCTCAAAGAGACATGCGCTTTCTCAATATTTGTTGATGCTATTTGCCAGTTTTCCGGTGAAGATCCATCTGAAATTATGAATTTACCTTATGATTTAAAAATGAAAGCATACCAATTGCACAGTACTCAATACAGTATTTCAAGCCGTTCTCTGCTTTCCATTTCAGTCGAACTTCATGATCTCCAGTTACTTTTACAATGAATTCCATTGGAGCATCTGTAGAATTTAGAGCAGATTTTGAATGAAAATCCAAAGATAATTTGAAGAGTACAAAAATCGAGTTCTCCAGGTATTTTGTACTCACAAATTAAGGATTTTGTGCCTTTAAATTGGTTTGTACCCTTGTGATTCCAAAATGTTTGTACCCTCCAAATTATTTGCCATGAAAGTCATGGAAAATCATTTTTTTCATTTTCTGAAATTTTTCAAAAACCCGAGGATTCGCTTAACAATCCTGTTTTTCAAAAATCCTCCTCCGGAAAATGAGCCGATTTTTTATTGCTCGTGCGTTGATCAGATTCTGGATTAGACCGCTGCCACCGGGGTAAAATCGGGTACATGGATTTGAATCGAGATTTCGCGCTTTTTTCAGTCGCGTCGCGGTTGAAATTCGCTGAGTAGCGACTCACGTAACGTTAATTGAACTTCCAGGATGATACACTGAAAGCTGCCATCCACACACGCGCCGCGCGGAAGACTGAAAAAAAGCGCGAAATCTCGATTCAAATCAATGTACCCTTTTTACCCCCGTGCGCTGTTAAAACCTACCAAACCCTGACAAGGTTTCGACCTACAATATTATTTCAATTCCCGACTAAAATCTGGCCATGACCCGCTATAGAGCCGTTTTTGGGCAAGTCCTAACCAGAACCTGTCTAATATCTGTTCATAAACCAAACCTACATCAACTTCTGACCAGAAGTTACAAGCCGACAGTCGAGATCAATTCATATTTTAAAAAACATATTTTTTCCGAGAAATTCTCCCTTCAACTATCACTTCACATACCTGGAACTGAGATTACAGTCAAAAAGGATACACTGGAAGTGACTCCAAACGAATTCTTTGCTATCACAGAATATGCTCCAGCATCACATTTCTTCACTTTTCTGATCAGAAGACGACTATCCAGATTGTTTGTCTGAATATTTGTAGTTTTCGTTCCATTATGTAGTCCTTTCGCTACCTGTATTTTAGCTCTTTTTGTATCGACTGCTGGTCCATACCATACTACCGTATAGTCCGTGTCTGAAACAGAAGATAATATTCAGAAAATGGCTCAGTTACTAACGAGAAGAAATTATGGGTGTCATCTCTACATCATCTCCTTCAACTACTTCCAAATCTTTCATTTCCTCCACAACGACTGGCCTTTCACAAGTCGATAGCTCTAAGAGCACATCGAAATTTTCAGTTGATGACGTGGCAACATCGAATGCACTTGGTCCATACTTAACATCAGCTTCATCGACTCTTCGCTGCCATTCACGACGGTATCTAAATAGTTTTTAAACTAGAAAAAGAAAAGTATGTCGATGCGATTACTGTATCTGTTCAGCAAAGTTTTCTCCAGGAATTTCAGACATTGTTAAGAAATAGTTCGGACATTTTCCAATAGTACCATCGGATTTTTTGACATTTGCATATCCGTTTTTTACATCAAAAACTTGGACCTGAAATCAGCTTTTTGATGTCAAATATTGGAGAATTTTTAAATATTATGCGTGTGTGAAAAATCGGAGTTGTGGAAGAGAAAAGCAGGTGGCCGTGGCCGAAGCTTTCACAGCGACGACTACAGTAACCTTAAAAGACTTTTATTTTCCGTGTTGGTACTCTTGTTTTTCACTGATTTTGTCCAGTTTTCTGTTATTTTTCCCCAAAAAAGTCAAAAATTATAGGGTTTTATAATGAAAAAAAAATTGACTGCAAACGCACGGAAATCGAGAAAATAAATCCGGAAAATAAAAATGTTTTAAGTTACTGTAGTTGTCGTTGTGGGACCTTCCACCTCTCCGATTTTCTTTGTATCAGAATAAAATCTAGGTTTTTATTATTCGTTCGGCCCTATCTAATCACCTTTTCATCAGTTTCCAAATTCACTTGATCATCTGTAATCTTGATGAATCTTCCGTTTCCCGCTGCTTCTAACTGTAAAATGCTTTTCTGTTTTTTTTGTCAATAGTTCGTTTTTCTATAAATTTGGCACCGCATTGCACAGCACCTCTTCTCTTTTTTCTATGTTCAGAATACCACTTCAAGCAGAAGAAATTTATTCAAAAAAAATACACGAAAACATACTGTCTGTGTTGTGGTGATGAGAGGAAACGAAGGAAAACAAAAGAGCGCTTTAAAACAGAATTTAAAGAACAAAAAAGAGTTGTGTGTGATAAGTTTTTGTTTTTAGTTTGTTTCTCAAAAGAATTGATTTGGACAGTTGGGAGTGAAAATATTATGGACAGTTTGAAGAGAATCGAAAAATGCGCATGCGAGACAGAGAGAGAGAGAGAGAGAGAGAGTTTGTGCCTGGGAGAGAAATAGAGAAACAGCTCAATGGATTCCAGATATAATTTGCATATACATCACTGGGAGAGAAAGGGAAAATGGGTCCGGTTCGAAGGAGGAAGAAATCGGCGTTTAGAAAAAAAGAGAGGAGGGAATTATACATAGGGACCTAGATTAGAAAAGAGGAAATTGTTTTGTACCCGTTTCAAAGATAGACATTTTCGAGAAAAACAAATAGAGAGTTAGACTTTTTGGGTTAGAAAAAACGTTAAAAGCAAGTAGAAATCTAAGAATTTGAGACGAGAGAAAACCTGCGAAAAAGCTCAGAATTGAAGAAATAGAGACTAGCAAACGAAGGACTGACTTCACAAAACGGGAGTGAAAAAAAAAGAAAATGATGAGGTTAATGTGATTAGAAAAGATGCAATTGTTATTAGTGATTAGTTACAGTAATACAGCACTCATTTCGAGTTTCCAACCGGTGGAGGAGAAGTTGGAGACTTGGCTGGCTTCTTTCCAAATGAAAATAATGATTTTGATTTGCTTTCTTTTTTTGGAGATTCAGCTGCTTTCTTTGATGTGGTTGCTGATGATTTGGCAGTGGAAGACGACGCTTTTTTGTCATTTCCTGATGGTCCTCTGCAAAACATTTGATTTATCTATTTTGGATTTTGTCTTGTCCCTAAGAGAATCACAAGATGCTAATGCAAGACTCATTAAACATTCAAAATGATAGTCCTTGCTCTAGGTGAAGCCCACCCAAACAGTCAACTTTGAGCTCATTTATCTCGATTTCTGTAAAATATATCAAACCTTAGCCAATTGATAAATTGTTTATTATAATATCAGCAATATTTTATCAGTGGACAAATTTTCGATATCTTCCCTAAGAATCGAGATAATTGAGCTCGAAGTTGACGATTGAAAAACGATAAATTCAAAAACTCACAAGCTCATATTTCCCATTCCACCAGACATGTCATCACTACCACCCATAAATCGTTTTGGATCTACGAGAGCAGCAAGAAGACGTTTTTGTTGATCAAGTTGTTCACTGATTTTCCTATTCCACTCGTCTTTTTCCTCTTGGGTCTGAGCATTGGCAATGAAACTTGTTGGTTGAGTTGGATCCGAACTTTTGATCACAAATCGAAGTGGATCATCTGCCACTTGTGGTTCGAAAACCATCTTATTCACCTATAACAAATCAGTTTTCGAAGAGGAAATCCTTTTTGAAATTAAAACTAACCATAATTTGATTCTTGAAGATGTAAGTTGGATTTCCAAACTCTTTCTTTGGTGGAATGTGATCAGCGATAATGGCAGATTGTTCGAACAAGAAGATTCTTCGGTCTTTTGGTTTTTGAGTGTTTCCAGCAACAGATTCACTGATCTGAAGTGTTCCCTGATGGATTAATCTTCCTTGTGCTCCAAGGTTTCCGTCAAAGTTTTGAAGACGTCCGACTTGCATCATATCGTCACAGGCCTTTGGAACTACATGCATAACCTGAAAAATTCTCGAATTAGAACTGTTCTGGTGACTAATTAGCTTGTTTGTCTATGATGCTAGTGAAAAAATATATTTTTTTAGGCCGCGCCTCCGGCGCTTCAAACAGATGGCTGGTGCGACTTCGGCGCGATTTAACCTATTTATTTCACTTTTTCAAAAGGTCACGTCAAATTATATTTAATTGTCAACCTCTTTAAAAATTTATATTTTTTATACACGTAACGGAATGTATCAATAAATCAATAAACATTAGGTCACGTCCCCTCCTTCTGTCCACGTTGAAAAAAAACTCGGGTTCTTGTGAAATGGCACTCTTTGAACATTATTGTTGGATAATTTTCACAAGCCCTTCTCTCTGGTAAGAAGCTCTTTGCATACGCTTAATTTTTTTTGTTCATTTTCTTTTTGATCTTTCGATTGGTCGAATTCGAAAAAAGTACTAAAAGGCCCTAATGGTCGCCATGTTTTGGGGTTCATGGCTAGGTGTTTTTCACTGAACGTTCCCCTCGAGCAAAAGATTCTATCAAAGATTAAAAGAAATGAACAAATATCCATAAAAAGCGTTTGTAAGGCTTCTTATCAAAGAAAAGGAACTGTGGAAATTATCCAACAATGGTCCAGACGCAATTAAGTTGCGACTCTTTGTTTGTTTGTTTGATATTATATTTTTCATCAAAATTGTGTTTTTCAGTTGATTTTGACCATTTTAAAGAGTCTGGAGCTCGACTGTGCAGTTTCCGATCACTGGAAACTTTTGGAGGGTGTAAAACTGACCTAAATTTAAAACTTAGCATTCATAGAATTTTTGAAAATTCCGAGTTGCATACTTCTGAAAATAGTCAAAATGGCCGAAAATCAACTTTAAGTATGTTCTCTTATATCTTAATGACCGGTACTGTAGGTTAGGATATTCCGGATAAACCCCTTTACATTTTTCATTCATTCAATTCATTGAACTAATGCCAGGCTATTCAGAAGTCGACAGACTGACAGGGGGACCCTTACAAAACTGCTATCATGGTAACATTTAATAGCGCTTCCAAGTATCGCAAAAATATGTATTCTATGAAAAAAGTTTTGGAATACACTAGATTCTGACTTGAAAAAAAACCCATTTGAAAACAATTCGAGAACAATACATTGAATAGTGGTGAAAAACAAGTTGGTTATTTCATATAATTTAAAGAATACTTACCCCCAAAGCCTTCTTCAAAACATCAGGTCGATCCTTGGCTCGTTCGGTGAACTTGAGAATATCCTTGAGCAACAATTGATACTTCATAATTCTTTGAACCGGTTTGATCAGCAAGTCACATAACGCTACTTTGTGTCCTAACTTGGCTTTCGTGTCGGCAAAGAACCCCTCGAAATCATCCTGAGCCAGCAGATAATCTGATTTTGGCTTGTTCTGACAGTACTTGACGTATAAAGTGTGTAACCGTCTCTCGTATTTCACGAACGCCTGTCCTGCTGCTTCATAGTTTTCCGTGCATTTCTCGATCTCTTTCAGGAAACAAGTTTTGTGAAAGTCCAGAATTTGAGCGATATTGGCAAAAATGATTTTGTCCTTTCCAACAAGATCAGCTGGCAGATCCATCTTCTCTAGATTTCCAATGTATCCTTCGACAACTGACGTCAAATCTTTTACATAATCTTGCTCTGTCTCAACGAGTTCCATCAGCACATACGATCTCTTAAATCTTGCCGTCTCTTCTGGAGTCTTCTCGACTTTCTCCGGTACTTCAGGCTCTGCCACGTCGGAAACTGCCATCGGATCGTCGTTCACATCCTTCTCCTCCATACTGTTGTTTGTGATGGTGATATTTTCCATTGGGGGTGGTAAACAATCCTCGGCCTTCTCGTCTTCAGCAACAACCACCGGAATGACGGTTGGCGATGATGATGTTGGCCCGTGGGTTGGAGTAGAAGAGGATGGAGTCGAGTTGGAGTTTCCGGCAGTCGACAGTTCTCCAGATGAAAGAACACCGATAGACGATGATTCGGCTGTCTGAAAAACAAGGATTTTCATTAAAAAGAAAAAACCGTCTTAAAAAAGATTCGAGGAAGTTCAGAAAACCAAAACGGTGGCAAAAATAGAAAAAAAGAAGTCTAACTTACATGTCCGTTAGCAGCGAGTGGAGACGATGTAGATGTAGACTGCCTGGTTGCCGGGCTGTTGTTGTTTGACGACGAGGATCGCTCCTTGCTCGAGTTTGCGAAGATTCGTCTGTAAATATTGAAAATAAGCGGGACTTTGAGGGATTTATGTTCTAAGGGAAAATATATTGGTAGGTTTTGGGAAACAGGGAGTGGACATAAAAAAGTAAGAAGAAAGATGGGAAAGAAGAAGAAGAAGAAGAATGGGTCGAAGGAAGACGAAGAGGATGGGGGAAGAATAAGGAGGAGCAAATTGGAATGAGCCCCTCTTTTCCATCTTCTTCTTCTTCTTTCTTATTCTTATTCTTCATCTCCTTCCCTATCGCTCCACGCGTTTTTCGAAAACATCAGCTAACTTTTTTTTTCGAATTTTCTGTCTCTTCTTTTTTTTTGCTAGTAGACGAGGAAAGTTATTTTGCGACCGCTAGAAGGAAAAGAGGATTCAGAAGAGATGATAAACGTATGCAAATGTGTGGAAGCCCCGTTTGAACCAATTCGAGAGAAAAAGTGGAGGAGGAAGAACGTTGATAGTTTCACAAAAAAAGAAGAAATTCTGCTTTAAAATACAACAAATATCAGTTGCCTTTGGCCCACTTTCTACACATACAATTATTAAATAAGTAATTTGTACTTGCAATTCTGACCAATGAACTACAATACCTAATTATTGTAATTGAATTCATTTCAGACTTGTTCTCGGGATTAAGAAAAATGCCTGACCCTGTTGAATGGGTAATCAAGGATTGGATGCCAATTAGTTTTGGCTCTCAAACAGGAAAGGGATCAGGATGCACAAAACAAAAAAATGAGGAGAATGGGGAAAAAGGAAGAAGATGATGGAGAAAACGAATAAGAAGCGACGAAGAGAGAAACACGATACTACGAATTAGGAATGCAAAAAAAAGAAGCAGCATCGAAAAGAGAAGTGAAGCGCGACGGCGACGAAGAGACAGGAGAGAAGGATCGATGCGGAGAAACGCGCGGTGAGCCTGAAGCTGAAGGGAGCACGAATACACATTGCAGCACACACACACAAACAGATATTAGAGCGGCGGCAACCGCTTCGGCCCCCGAAGAAGAAGAAGAAGACGTCGACACAAAACGATGAAACGAGGAAGAACGGAGCGGCGGCGGGTCGGGAGTTTGGCAGTGGATACGACAAAGTGATGAGAGTGTGGTGAAGAAAAAAAAGAAGAAGACGAAAAAAAAGGCGCCCAAGCACTTCAGATAAATATACATATATGGTAGCGACGACCGACCGATTGGACCACTCTTCTTCTTCTTCTTTTTTCTTTTCCGCATCATTCCCAACCACTCCAGTCAGTACAACAACACTGAAAACGAGAAAAAGAAAAACTCTGCCGCAGGGCAACAACACAAACTTTGCAAAGAAGACGAAGAGAGAGAAAATTCGGTGGGGTCGTCGAGCTTCTCATCTGTCTCTTCTTGCTCAGTTGGGCGCCGACCCCCACCGGCTCCAAAAAACATCTAGTGTCTATTAAATTTGATTCATTTCAATAGTTTCGCTTTCGGATTAGATATTCCAGGGTTTCGGCTGAATTATTTGAGAACTAAATTGAAGAAGATTATTTCGATGGAGGAGGAACCAACAAAAAAAAGAATTGCTCAGGTAAACGAAGCGGAAAAATAACTGAGGAAACAGGAAAAGAGTGACGGAAGAACCCCGAATTCTAAGATGATATGATCATTGAAGTCTGACAAATTCCGGTGTACACCAGAATTAAATAAGGAATTCTTGAAATATTTTGTGTTGGCGTTCAATTTTAAAAACTAGGAACCGGTACGGGCGCTTATTGCAATTTTTGTCATTCAACTTATTCTAGAGTTACTGTAGACAAATTCAATCTTCAGTAGCCAATATTTTTGCTATCAGCAAAAAAGTTATTTCTTGGAAACCGCGAAAGCTTATAAGCTTCAAAAAAGTTTCGATTTCTTTCTTCACTGCTTTTCGAAAAAAAGAACGAAACAAATTCAGTTCAGCACTAAATTCGTCATTTTATTTCGTTCAACTTTTTTCTCGTCTCGTTTTTCTTTTTCTTCTTTTTTCTCATTTTTTCATCTCGACTTCTTCTTCTCCTTCTTTTTCTTATTTTATGGACTCGATGCAACGGGTCCCGCTTCCTTTTCTCAACCAATTTCACCTCCTCCGAGCATTTTACTTGGAAAAAGTGAGGAAAAACCAAAAAGCAAAAAGAAGAAGAAGAAATGAAGTATGAGATGAAAAGAGGAAAAAGTGGATGAATAAATATTTTATGGTCCATCATTTATGCCATTCGGATCGACTTAGTGGTGGTCGTTTGGTCTTTTTTATGCCGGACAAGGTTTTGGGAAATAACCGGAAAAAAAACATAGATTTGAGACGGATGGGATATACAGAGTTATAGAACACACCGTGTTTCCTTGGCAAATAATTCGGAAGAAACAAACTTTCTTGGGTCATTGGGGTACAAACCGCTTTAGATGTACAAAATGCTCCATTCTGGATACAAAATAACTGAAAAATCGAATTTTGTATCTCCGAATTGTTGGTTTTGTGCTCCTAACACAGTTAGAGGGGGACTGCCGAAAAACGGGCCGTCTGGCGGGCGCGGACTGCCGAAAAGCGCGGCAGTCGAATCGCGCGCCGCCGACGGTTCGTCTGTAACGATTTGCGCCTCGAAGACGGGCCGTCAAAAATGATAGCGCTTTGGGGGTACGACGAATTCGAACGTTTTCAAAATCGAACAGACCTAAAATCGAACAGATTCAATTCAGAACAGTCCTTTTTTCGCACACGTACCAGAACAGAACGCGGACAGAATCGAACTGTTACAAGTTCGAAGTGGTAAGGAGTCGAACTGTCCCAAATTGGAACGCTGTTTTGTGTGTGCTTTCATGCGCGCTCTGTTGCAATTGAATCAGTTCGATTTTAGGTCTGTTCGAATTCGTCGTACCCCCAACGCTTTCTTGACAGTTCATCATTAAACAGGTATTGTCTATTCAAAATAATCGCGCGGGTGAACGAGTAAAAATGTCTGCGTCTCTACAGCGCCTCTACAGATTTGGAGACTCTCTACACGTTTTTTTACTCGTTCACCAGCGCGATTATGTTGAATAGACAATAATAAACAATAGAAATGCTTTATTAAACTAATAGTTTCTGTGGATTGTGTATTGTATTGAAAAAATAACTCCAAATTTTTCAAAGTTGAATTTTTATGATTAGAATGAGAGAAAACACATAAGAAATTACACATTCTATAGGGAACAGAACTCCGATTTTCTTTTTGTGTTTTCGCAAAATTCCAACTTAAAAAAAATTCAAATTTCAAAATGCGAAGATTTTTTCTCGTTCCTTTCGTTCTTTTTTCCTTCTTCGTTTCTCGTTTTCAATTTCTTTCGGTTCTCAGCATTTCTCTCATTGAACAGTATTTTCCGCTTTTATATGACTTTCTTTCAGAATAAGTAAAATTGATGAGTTCGTAACATGAATTGAGCACCCAAAAAAACTGGTATATAAAAAATCTCTACATGTTTAAGGCTTAGCGACATTTTTAGCAGAGACTTCAAAACTTCGACATATCGCATGTGATATTTTTAAAGCCGGTCGGAAGCAGAAAAAGCAATTATAATATTTTTTGATGGAGCAGTTAGACAAAAAAGTAAGAAAAGCCACCGAGAAAAGGGTAAAGTGCATCCTCACATGCCGGAGTGCCGACGAGGATCAGTGGATTAAAAATGATCTCTTCGAACAGAAAAATTGGAAAAGAAGACTAATTCGTTGATATGCAAAAAGGAAGGCACTGGAAGAAATAGAGGAAAGGCATGAAGGAAAAAGTGGCGAGAATGAAAATGGAAGACATTTGTCGGGGGTCTTCAGTTTTACGACTCTTCTGGGCAAAGGATGAGAGGGGACGCCTCAGAAAAAAAGGGGTGTGCTCTTCTTCCAAAGGCAGGAAAGAGCTCCCACTTCATTAAATGCTTCTGAAGACAAAAAATGAGAATAGTGTGTGTGAAAGGGGAAAGTATAGAGAAGAGGAGAAGGGACGGGGGCATCACCGTCGAGCAAATAGTGAAAATGGACCCTTTTTTTTCAAGTTGCTCGAAACTCCACCTCCTTCACGCTCAAAAAAACGAAGAAAAGGAAGAAGTGGGAGAAGAAAGAGAGAAAGTAGAATAAGGAGAAAAAAGTGATGGTGAAGAAAACGAAGAAGAAGAAGCCTCTAATGCTTCGGCAGTCCCTAGAAAAAAACAGACATTCCCGACCGATGGCGAATAGGGCAAATTGGGCTCGGATCACGCAACGGAAGCCATCGTACTTTTTAGTTATGACGAGCAAGTGTCAGAGTTTGTTAAGAAAAGAAACAGAGACATCAATATGACTGAAAGGCGGATCGAACGAACTTTCGATCAAGAAATGGGCGCTGTATCTCACAGGGGATGAGAAAAAGAAAAACCAAATGGTATTGCAATTTTTAAATGAAAAAAGGATCTAGAAAATTTTATATGTGATTCCAGACGCCTTGATTTGATAGTTCCTACTCCAACTCTTCTCAGTTTTCTATCAATTTTATTGTTTCGAGTAAAAATCAGTTCGAAAAAAATTTTCAGTTTCAGATCTCTTGATCAAGGAAAAACTTACCGTAAAACCTGTAATAGAAGGGCCCCATAACTTTAAACTTTGAGCCAATTTATCTCCATTCCCGTGAAAGAAATCAAAAAGTTGTCAACTGATAAATTGCTTATCACAATATCAGAAGTGTTATATTAGTTGACGCACTTTTGATATCTTTCACAGGAACCGAGATAAATTGGCTCGAATTTGACAGTGTGGGAGCCATTTTTCCCAGGTTTCAGCTACGTATTGTTTCCGACGAAAATTGTTTTTGTTGTATTTTATAAAAACACACTCAATCTATTCCGTGGTTAGTTTGTCCAATTAAATCAGATAACTAATAGAAACACCCACGAGACGGAATTCGTTTGTTGACTGTTAAATGACGTTGTGTAGTTTTTAAAAGAGGCGGCCAAACAACGGAATGTAACTCACCTGAACTCCTGCTTACACCGTGGCATCAGATTTGCGCACGGCATCGTTATGTACTGTTTTCAGAAGCAATTTAAAAAAATATATCAACTAATAATGGCAGTCTTCGTGTTGCGAAGGTTTCAGATGGTCGGTAGAAGAACAGTAGCGAACAAAAAAAACCGTGCCACTGTTGATGACGATGACAATATGAGAGAGGGGGATTCAGACGCAGACGTTGAGAAATTCTTGTTCTTTCTTTTTTGTCTGTAGGTGACAGTGGGGACGAAATGCTGCCGATTTGAGAAAAAGGCGGGGGCAACACAAGACGATAAAACCCACAATGTTCTTCTTTTTTCTCTTCCAATTTTCTTCTTTTTTCCTTTCTTCAACTTTTTTTGGAGTATGAAGAAGTAAATGAGTAGAAGAAGAAGAAGAAGAAGACGGAAGACGAAGTGCGTGGGCACACAGATTAATTCGCTCCTCTCAACTCTTGAGAATATGTCGGGGGTCCAATTCTTCTTTCCGGAGTGAAATGAGGATGATGATGCGGCAGTGGATGAGGAGGAAGAGAAATTTTAACTATCAGGCTGGAAATGAATCGGGAATGGACAAAAACCACTGGGACGACGATGGCGGTGTTTTGATGTTTGTCGAAAGAGTGGAGAAAAATGAAGGAGTGACTCTTCTCACTAACACAAATGTTTATAATACAGGGAAAAAGGGAGACCCCAAAATGGATGTGTGGACGAAGCGGCGAATAGGGTGCCTTCGGCCGAAAAAAAAACATCCATGTGGTTGATTCGATCGTGACAGAGCAATACAAAGGCAGTGTGAGTGCATTCAGAATGGAGGAAAGCTCAGGAGAAATAGAGACTGTGCCATATAATTCGATTGGGTACCATTCTAGTTGACAAAGATGAACAACACATAAAATAGATAATAATAAAAGAAGAGAAAACAAGGAAAGAAGAGCAAACTTCCTAAAAAGAGCACAATATCTGTTTCTATGTTCTTTCAATTATCTCGAAATTAACCTATTTCCATGATGATGATTTCTAAATCCGATCTACCGTTTGCTCTACTTCTATCCCTAATATTTCCAAAATAACGGGACCTATATTATCATTCTCTCGTGAATTCTCCTTTCCATTATTGTGTTACAGAATCGACAAGCTGGTGTCTTCAGATGAATTCTGTCTTGCAAGACGACGACAAATGAGTCAGCATCAGAAACCGGCGCGGGATGAAACCAATTGCAATTGCTGCAGTTGGTGACGTCCCTAGTTAGATCTCGATAAAATTAGGGAAAAAAGAGAAAAAAATTAGGAGCTGAAGTAAATATCTAGATACTATTCGAAAGTCGATTTGAGAAAACGATGGAAAAAGTAAATTTTTTAACTAGGAAATCAAGGAGAAGGTATAATTATAAGCGTTTTAATGGGTATCTACCATAAATTCTCTGATAGAAGCCCACCCTTTACGTGCACTTTGAGCTCAATTTTCTCGGTCCCTTCTCAGCAAATTTTCGGCACGCTGGGGCATAGAGGGGCACCTTTGCTTCAAAACGGCACAGTGTCTCGTTTAAAGTGCCCTCGGAACACCTCAACCGTGCCTCTAGCGCGCGTATGGCGTGCCGCTACCGCGCCGGTGCCGTGCCCCTTTTTGAACCATCTGCACATCTCGTGTCTATTCATTGAGTTTCGAAAATGCGTTTTATTTTCATAAATTCATATTTTCATCGTTTTATGGTTTTTTAGATTTGTTTTCTTGTCTTTTCCGTTGGAAAATCATGAAATGTATCTCTGTTTCGTTTTCAGACAGTAGCTGTAGCAGATGTTGGAAAGTTGGAAAGAGTTGGATAGGCACCGAAGGGAAACCGGTGAGTTGAGAAATGTTTAAGTGACAATGATATCGAAAATCTTTTCAGTTATGGAGACGAGAAGGGAAGACGTCGGACCGTGGAGAGATAATGAAGATTGAGAAATTAGTTTCCGACCAGCAACGAGGAATATTTCAAGTGAAATATGTAAGTTGGGGGCAATATGTGAAAAACGGAACATTGTTGTTTGAAAATGACAAAGTTCAAAATATTAGAAACTAATAGTGTTAGTTCCTATTTTTCAGGTCAGAGACACGAAGCCAAGCCCGAGATCAATGAAGCTGGAGAAGAGGAGGAAGAAACTTAGCTTCATCAAAATTCATCAACCTTATCACCACAATCTTCGGAATCTTCCCTACAAATTTAAATTTTCTCATCTTTTAAATGTTCTAATTTTTGTTGTTATCCTTTTTATTGAGTTTATAATGTGATAAACTGTTTGATAATAACTGTTTGATAACATGCGTGTCCGACCCCCGGGCACGATTACCGCGTTGCAGCGGCACTGGTGCCCCAAGTAGCGGCACATGTGCCAAAAATTTGCTAAATTTAGAAGGTATCAAAAATTTGTCAACAGATAAAATATTTTTCGTAAAATTACCAACATTTTATCAGTTGACAGATTTGTATATCTTTTGAAGGGATTGAGATGAAAAATTACCTCAAAGTTGACAGAGTGGGGGCCGTTCTATTACAGGTTGCACGGTATGTATAATCAACAGATTCATAAGCACCGGAGACTACTATTTTCAATATTCTAGAAAGTTCAAGAAAAACTAATACTGAATTAATTCGTCTTTGAAAATTTCAATATTAGCTTAAGGAAAATCTAAAAGAAATTTGATACTGCCTCTTATATTTTAAGAAGATCATAGTTCTCAATTCCACCGGAAAGTCCTATTTTATTATGGTTCGCAGCGAAGAATGCGAAAATTTTGATTTTCTTTGGAAAATTTTCAAATACAAGATAGAAAGAGAGACATGTCTTGAATCGAGTAAAGTATTATAGAAAACAACAAAGAATGAGAAAAACGAATTTTCCTTTTTTTCCATTTCTTTCTGAATTCGGACATTAAAAAACTTTTTTTGACAGAACGAACTACAAAACGTTATCGTTGAAAAGAAACAGTCAAAAAGTAGAGGAAGAATATATGAAAAAATAAAACAAAATAGTAAGAAAAAAGAAGTGGGAGAAGGAAACTGGCCCTCTTCACCCCCATTTTAAGTGCCACATTCTTTGGATTTGTGTGGATCAAAAAGAAGAAAAAGGCGGAGGAAAACGTCTAAAAGAGCGAAGAAAAGAATCCGACTCACCGCAATGATTTCCTTTTTGAAACTGTCGATCCAGATGCATTCGAATCGTCTGGACGGTCAGGAACACTTCCAGATTCGGCTATAAATTAAAACTTGTTTTTTTTGTTTGTTTTTTGTACTTCTAGGTAAAAATTTATTTCATTTTTGTGAGCCAACTGTCAGATTCCCAATAATCAACCAAACCAATCACAAGAACCCAAACATTCAAACTACCATTATTATTTCCAGATGCACCAAGCGAAGTTTTCGTTGGTTGCACAATCGCCACGTCATGATCATGGCTATGTCTACTGGTTGATGAAGAAAACCATCGACGTTTGATAGCAAACGACCATCGTTCTTTTTTTGATGATTTCGTTGGAGTCGTTCCGCCGCCTTCTGAATCCGTACTGCCCTCCACAGTTTGAGATCGACGCATCATATGACTGAATTGCAGAAAAAAAAAACATACATAGAAATAGGAAACGGGTTTAAAAAGAGACTTGATAAATGATACGGTATTTGTGTGTACGTTGAAACTGGTCGGCATTCTTTGATCTCATAGAACGACTTGAGTTGAAAGTGAGTTGGAGTGGATGAGACGGAAAAGAATTGAGGAATAAAGAAAAGTTATCAGAACCTAGTTTGATAAAAAAAGTGGTGATAAATTGGGTTTTGAATTATCTGGGATCAGGGTTTCAAATAGAGAATACAAGTAAAAAATAATTATGCTCAGGCTTAAATGAAATGAGCTCAGAATATCAGAAAACTTATCCTATTAAGAACATCAAAACGCTTCATAAACTTTTCACTCTCTCACAGTTCTAATACCATTGCCATTTAATATTGGCTACTGTCTCTGGACAGAGTCAACAGAAAAATTAACATATTTCCTCTGAAGCCTACCCAAACAGTGTGACAAGTTTTTGATATCTTTCACAGGAATCGAGATAATTGAGCTCGAAGTAGACGGCTTGGAAGAATTCGATTAGAGGTAATACGTTATCTTTAATCTCAAGTCCATCGCCCATTTCTTCTTTCGAATGAAAATGAGAAATGAGAAAAAAAGAAAAGGAATGAAAAGATTTTTTTTTTAGAATCGGGAGAGAAGTCTAATGTGACGTCGTCAAGGAGAAGACGGGAACTGGGAGGAAATTCAGAAGAAAATGGATGGTGAAAAATTGGAAAAAAAACGAAGAAGGCGAAGAGCCAACACACAAAAAGAAAGACGAAATTGGAAACGAAAATCGAATTGGAAGTGCTCCGGAAATGAGACATCTCTATTATTTCTTCTTTCGTTTTTGTGTTGCTCTTTTAATTGGAATCAAGAGAAAGGGCTGAAAAGAAGTAAAAGTTCTTTAAAGGAACATCCTCCTAATTGAAAAAAGATTGTTAGAATTCCAGAAGAATCATGTGACTCCGCCCATCTCTCTAATGAGACTTAAACTAATGAAACCATTACAATTTGTGGGTTTCGGAAGAAAACAATGTTATAAGGTTGAGAAGTAAAGAGGAGTGCGCGCTCGCGAGAGCACCCGGGCGCCCAGTGAGATTTGATGAGCACATACATACACAAAACTCTCTACTTCCTCTCTTTTCTGCTCAATGTATATAATAAATATATACATAACCACCGCACAACCAAAAAATCACTGAGAGAGACTCTGGAAAAGAAAGAAAAACGAAATGATTGGGGTGCACAGAAGAGAGACACGTGTGAATCGGAGAGGAATGGAGAAGGGAGGGTTTCCAATGCTCTCTCGCGAGCCGATATTTGTCATATCGAGAAGAGAGAGAGAGAGAGAGAGAGGGAGAGAGAGAGAGAGAGAGAGAGAGAGAGAGAGAGAGAGAGAAAAAAGAGATCCGCTGATCGAAATCGAGACGAGGGAGAAGGAGAAGAGTTTGGAAATCAGAAAGACCTTTTTACAATTAGACACGAATCCCCAACGAGCCATATGGGCCAGATGGGGAAGAGCCAGTCGATTGTGTTTGAACAATTTCAACATGATGAAGAACACATCAATGAAGTTATTCCTCTTCTTACTTCATGATCGTTGAATTCCAGAGAAAAAAAAGACGCCACCTTCAGAATAACAAGAAAAAAAAAGAAGAGGAAGGATGAGAAGAGATTTCAATTAAACGAGATGGATGAGCTTTCCAATTCCGAACACGGTGTCGCTTCTGTTGGTTTCCTCATTTGAGTAGTGGGTGAGAGAGGAAAAAACAACTCGAAAACACAGAATCCCATTTTGTTTGAAAGAAGATAACATAAGAAGAACTAGGTTGTTCGTCTCACTCTCTCTTGATGTAACAATAAAAAACTACAAAATACAGTGAGACAATAATAAGAATGAAAAGTTAAAGTCGTCAATTGGGTCAAACGAAATTGAAAAGAACTTGAAACCAGAAAACTTCGGCAAATTATCATTGTCTATATTTTCATTGACTACAAAGTCTCATTGACTACAAAGTATCATTGACTGCAAAGTTTCATTGACTACTTTTTGTATCATTGACTGCAATGTTTCATTGACTACTTTTTGTTTCATTTGTTTCATTGACTACATGTGCTTAAGCGAATGATTCTTTTCTCTGAAATTCTGAGAGTTTAGTTTTAGTACCAATAATCGCTTTCTCAGTGTAAAATTGAAACAAGGCGTTTCAACCTAAGCCTATAATTTAAACAAAAAAAAACTAAAAATTCCTGTCAAAAAAGAACTGAAACTCGCGAGAACCAACGAAACTTCCAACGTTCTCGTTGAAATTTTTCAAAATTTTCAGTTTTTTGTTGAAATTATAGGCTCAGGCTGAAACACCTTGTTTCGATTATGTACGGAGAAAGTGATATTTGGTACTGAAACAGAAATTTCAGAATTTCAGAGAGAAAGTATCATTTGCCCATGTAGTCAATGATACAAATGAAACGAAATGTAGTCAATGAAACTTTGTAGTCAATGATACCACCGTAGTCAATGATACAAAAAGAAGTCAATGAAACTTTGTAGTCAATGATACAAAATGTAGTCAATGATACCACTGTAGTCAATGATAAATATAGTCAATGATAATTTGCCGAAAACTTCAAATACAATTTCGAACTTTGTATATTTTTATCACTCTGATACTAAAAAAATCGGAGCTGTGGAAGCTCCCTGTACTGAAGATACGAATGAGACTGTGAAAATACTCTAAACTGGCCCCAAAGCGTTTATTCTGTGCCATTGTGCTCTATATCAAATAAACACTAAAAGCTGCAGTCTCTGGATATCACAAACTGTTTCGTCTCTTTTTCAAAACTTCATATATTTTATCACTTTTTTCGATGAAGAGTCCTGAGCAAACAGGGTATCCACCTGGTGGTAAAAGACCTCTACCGTTACTTTTTGATAGCTTTCGCGAAAAAAGAAAAGTGTGATACGAAAAAAAAAACTTTGATTTGGTAGAGCTGCACCCGACTAATGGGTGTATAAAGAGAAGAAAGAAGGGACCGGAATGACACGTTTCCGGTGGAAACACGAAGAAAATAGAATATGAATGTGGGAGAAGAATTCCTGAGATTCGTTGTTTTGAAGAATTGAAAAAAAAAGACGACGTGGGAAAATGACGAAGAATGTAGACTCTAATCCTTCATTTTCCCAACCTGGATTTGCATGAAATTCGATTTCGGCTAAAGGAACTTTTACCTGGAAACCGAATTTATGGTATTATTGAAGCACGAAAAATCGCCGAAGGTCTTACAGCGACAACTACAATAATCTAAGTGTTTTTTTTCAAGATTTTTCATCTTGATTTCCGTTCAGTCAATTTTTACTATTAAAAAAATATTTTTTTCCAACTCGAGATAATAAAACCCGGAAAAAAATGAACATCTTTTTAAATTTGAGTTTTTGTCGTTGTGGTCGTCGGCCACGGTCTTCGGCGTTTTTCTCCCGAAGATTAATTCCGAATAGTTGTTTCTTTTTGGAATCAGAATTATTGGTAGCCGTGTGAATTGATAATAAGGAAGAGTCGAAAATGAACTAAACATCTCAAAAATTGGATATATCTCTATTCTCGCTTAGATTATAAAGTTTGATATCCGTAGTGATGAGATCACAATTTTTACTGCAAAATTCATATACACACATCATACAAGACAGGCAGATTGTACAAAAAAATTCATAAAATGAAGAGGATAAGAAATATGGATAACAGAAAAAAGTCAATAAATTAGGTAAGAGATCAGGTTAAATTTCATGGAATCAAGTGTCATTGGTAATAATGAGACGAGGTGATGAATTTAAAAAAAAACAAATTGATCATAGGATGGGAGATTCTTGAATTGTGGTGTCATTCGCCTGGAGATGGGAAACAGAAGAGTGGTCTTTCAGTCTAATAATGAAAGACGAATGAAGCAGTGGAGAAAAAGAAGCAAAGGGGAAATGTTTGCCTTCGTCTTCTCCTTCTCTGACAACCACCACTTCACGTATCCTCCCAATTGAAAGACAACAAAACATCAAGAAAATGAAGGAAGGAGGGAAGGCAACACACTCAAGAAATGGGATAATATGAATGACAAGTTGATAGATAACACCGGATAAAATCAGAAAGAAAAATCATAAGGGTTACACAAGAAATGAGAATAAAAGTGACGTTAAAAAAAGAAGAAGCAGAAGAAGAAAAAGATGATGGAGGTAGTAGCATGCACATACTCGAATCACTGACACAACAACCACACGCACTCCTTACTCGCTTGCTGAATTATTCAAAACTCTGACCGTTGGCTCAAAAATTCAAAGTAAGTTGAGAGTAATTTCCTCAACTTTCTTTCTCTTATTTCGTTTGTTACTATACAGAAGCTAAAGAAAAAAACTAACGTGGAACAATGATGGAAGCAGGAACAAGACCATGCTTTGTTGGTTGATCACACAGAACAACTTGAATATATTCAGCGCAATCTGTGGCTTGATCTTCGACAATCTGGAAGAAGAGAATATTTTCAGTTCTAAAATTACAGTTGTTCCTAGAATGATATGAAGATTTTTTATTTGTGAACACGATACAACATTTTAGTATTTATAGAAGAACCGTGTGTAGAGAGTATCGGTCAATAAGATACACAAAAATGTATTTTCCAGTTAACTTTCTACCAGTTTGACCATTTTCAGGAGTCTGTTTTTGTGCTGTATTTTCAAAAAACTATGTGAATTCAAAGTTACTAATCTAGGGATGTTTTACACCCTCCAAAAATTTTTAAGTAATCGGAAACTTAACAGCTAAGCTTTTGAAAATAGGCAAACTGGAAGAAAATCAAATGGAAAATACGCTTTTGCATATCTGTATATAATTCATAACATTGCAGAAGATTGGCTATCAAAAATCTGAAAATCTTACTTCAACTCGGTCTCCCTTGTGAACTGTTAAGTGACCTTCAGTTTGCCCATCGAAGTCGGCCGTCACAATCCATACTTCCGAGGACTGCTGCAAAAAGGAAACAATTTTTCAGAACTTATTTTTTGTTATATTGTCTGATGGTCCCCTGGGTCATCATTTGCCACTCAAATCATTCAAAATCAGTGACAGTGTCTGGTGACAGAAGTGTCACAATGAAGGAAAACAATCTTCCTTCTTCTTCTTCTTCTTCTTCTGCAAAACGAAACGAGCGGTTACGTCCGACACCCATGGATATCAAATATTAATGAATTTCGTTTTACCCGCAGAAACACACGAATCTAGTCATGATTTCTCACCGCGGAATCGTCAAATTCGACACCATCAATAGTCAGTTTCTCTGGCTTAGTTCCACTTCGAAAAGAGCTTGTCAGTCGATTTCGAGCACGGGTATAGAGACTACCTGTTCTTGATCGAATCGAACGCCACGATTTTGAATAAGTTAGCATTCTGTAGTTAGAGAGAGAACTCGATAGGTTGTGGATGGGAAAACAAAAGAGAGGAAGAGGATTTAAAATGTCAAACAAAGAGAAGCAAAAAAGAAAAAATTCGAAGAATTAGAAACAACTACCGAGTAATTACATTTCAAAGACGAAAAAGAAGAAGAAGAAGAAGAAGAAGAAGAAGAAGAAGAAGAAGAAGAAGAAGAAGAAGAAGAAGAAGAAGAAGAAGAAGAAGAAGAAGAAGAAGAAGAAGAAGAAGAAGAAGAAGAAGAAGAAGAAGAAGAAGAAGAAGAAGAAGAAGAAGAAGAAGAAGAAGAAGAAGAAGAAGAAGAAGAAGAAGAAGAAGAAGAAGAAGAAGAAGAAGAACAGAAGATGCGGATCAGATGGATGTGGATAACGAAATGAACATACGAAAATTTTTTATGTTCTATGGTTAATCGAAAATTGAATGCCTCTGGTTTTTCATTTATTTTGTTGAAAATAAGAGCATGAAGTTTCAACATACCAAAAAATAGCCTGAGGGGATCTGTCTTTTTGAGTTGAAATTTTCTCTCCTGATAAAACTGTGAAGCTTATAATATCAATATGGAATGGTTGTTATAAATCATGGCTAAAAATTTAGTTGTCTCTCGAGCTCAAATAATCCCAGACTCAAATCTAATTCTTACGCTCCACCTGCCTAGCACCCAAAAAAACATCCATTGACGAAAAAAAAAAAATAGAGAAACCTAGCTAGAAGTAAAAGTCTAGGCTTTGCAGAGGAAATTATAGAAAAAAGAAAATGTGAAAGGTCTATTTAGACTCTATCCAATATGAATACTACTGCCGTCAATTATATTGTCGGTCCCTCTCGTGTACCTCAATAATTGAAATAGGAAAACCCCTGCTCAAAGGTTAAAGCCTGGCCAATCGAGTCAGTGATACATTCGATTGGCATTTTACAAACGCTTTTACTATCAAAGACTGATATCAGGAAAAGTTAGAAATTCAACCCAACCACTGGAACAAACCGCAAGGGGTGGGAAGAGATGAAGGAAGAAGTGAGAGAGACAACGGGGGCGCGACACAAAAAAAAACGATGAAATGGATACATGTACTAGAGTAAATATCAAGAGGATCTGATCCGAAGAGACACAAAACACTCGCTGTGGACACCGTGGCGTGTATGAGGCGGAGCTTACTCCGACATAACCGAATTTGATTGTTTCCTTCGCATAAAAGCTGGACGGAGAAAGAGAAGAGAAAGCGAAGATGTTGAAAAAAAAACAAGAAGATGGGCGGGACGAAATAAGAGAGTAGCACTGAACCAATTAGTCGATGTCTCTATTGGAGACTCTCCAGTAGGATTAGAAACAAAACAAATGGTTTATAAAAATTGCTGACTGGGTTAAAGCATTGAGAAAGAGAATTAGGGTTTTCTTATAACAACAACAATGACGGTGCGGGAAAAGGGATTGAATGAGATGATGGTTTAGTGAGCGAGTGGCAACGACAAACGTGAGGTTTGTCGCTTCATTGTTTGTTAGGACGACGTCTACATAATCTTAGCTAATTGAAAACAAATTGCCTGCAATCCATATCAAGAGTCAAAACGGCACAGAGGAGGAGGAGTCGGTGTGCAACGACGTCCAGGAAGGAAACAATTAACAAACATCCCAAAATCGTCGGAGAATTTGAGCCTCGTTTGTCGAACTACTCACATGTCCAACCGCCATCGGCCAGAAGAGGAGCAACGCCGACGCGGGGGTGGAGAATATGGAGAAAAGAAAGGATGAAGAGTCGGGTGTCTGAATTCCGAAGAAGGAGAAGGCGGACTAAAAAGGAGAAGGATTAGGAATTGAAAGAGAGAAGAACCTTCGAATGAATAGGATCGTCATAATCGTCCGACTAAAGTGAATAGAAAAGTGCACTAGTGCGAAGCGCTTTTCAGTATGAATTCGCCATTTGGTTTTGGTTAAAAAATCTATATATGTTCTGGAAAAACGCAAATATATGTTCAATTTATTTTCAGAGTCTGACAAGCAAACGAAATACTAGGTCTATTGCTCAACAAGAGAAGCATTCGACACGGAGCTTGTGTGTCTGTGTCATAATTAATTCATTTTCCGCTCACGACTACCACAGATTATTTTCGAACATGCTTGTCCAACTTTGAGTTTATAAGAAAAATAAGAAAAATAACTACCTAACCAGAACGAACGAGGAAACCGATTTTAGAGCCAAAAATGCATTTTTTCTGAAAACGGAAAATTCAATCAACATATTACGAGAATCGCAGCAGGTCATACGACACCACACCTTTCATCTGTATCACGACTGGCGGCGGAAATTGATGAATACGTCATTGCAAAAAGATTTACTTTCAACAAACTCACCTTGTTGATACATGAGAAGCATTTCATCATAATTCTGGAAGCCACTCTTTGAAAGAGATTCGGTTATCACAGAACGACTCGACTGTTGGAAGAGCGAAATGAACGATGCGAACCGTGGGAAAATAGAGACAGCTGCAGGCAGCAGTTAAGAATAAATCGAATAGATTGCGCCACGATAAACCGTTCAATGGCGTTCCTTCGGTCGATAAATATTTAGCTGACAGAATGATTACAGTAATAGAATCTACGACAGCATATTAAAATGAATAGATTTCATCTGATGGCTCGTTTTCCCTTGTCACTGATGGATGATATTGATTAAACTTTTTCAAGTTAAGATAGAAGATAAAGGAGCAGAAGAAAAAGATGATGATGATGATGAGAAGAGCTGCTCCTCGAAGAGCAAAAGCAGAGAGTAGAAACGATCACGAGGTCGCAGACGACAGCCGTCTTCCCGGGAGGGAGCCGACCGAAGTTTGTTGTGTGTATGTGTGTATGAGAAACGAAAATTCCTAATCCCTATGCGTTCATGTGTGCTGTGATGTGCAATCATTTCAGTACCGTTTCTATCTATTGTATACACCTTTCGGAATAAATTTCTAAAATCTTCGCTTAGTCATGAATCAAAATTTGTTAACTTATCAAGCAAAGTATTATACAACTATCTTCAGCAAAATCGATACGACTTCTTAGGCCTGAGCTTCCTTACAACTCTGTTCAAAATCTAAGCAGTTCTTCATGCCTATGAAAAAAAAAGAAAACAGATGCCATACATTCCATTGGTTGGCACCTGTCGTACAAACATCCTACCCGTCAATGAAAAGAAGATATCTTCTATCTGCTCCTGACATGAAAAATGAAAAAAGAATTACCTCACTATCACAACTGTGAACACTATAACGATGATGAAGCAGTGAGTCGACGTCTTGCGATTGTCGATTATCTCCTCCAGACGATGTTGAAGCGCCAGAACGATGTGAGACACTTCTGGCGGTTGATAGAGTTGTAGCTGATATTGCTGGCGAAACTCCAAGACCCAATGTACCAAGTGGCAATAATCCAGTCGTCAGTTCGCGAATCTTCAGAACCCACTTAACTTTGGTACTCTCAGTTGAAGCCTTTAAATCGGTACGGTTGTCATTGGAATGGTTAGATCCAACGCGCAGTCCAAATCGACACGAATCGCCTTCGACATGTTCAACAATGGAAACATCGCTGAGTGGAAGCGGCTTGCCTTTGATAACATATTTGAAGTTTTTTGGTGACGTTTCAATCCTTTTGGCGAAGACGATGGAAAGATCAAACAAGAACACCTGACGTTCTTTTCCTCGTCCTTTAAAGTACGCTCTCGGTTCCCAGACAGTGAGCACATCTTGGGTTACGAACGGGCCCAACTCATCAACCTGAATATACATAATTAATCAAGATCAGTTGCCAGAATCAACATACATTGCAGTTTTTCAACTCCAGGCAGTTGAAGTGAATTATATCGTTGGCTTTTCTCGGAACACTACACACCACATCGTACGCATCCTTGAGATCGTCGGCTTTATCGTTACAGCTTCTCAACAGTTGGGATATCAATAACTGGTATCGAGTGATCCTCTGAACAGGCTTTATAAGGTGACTTGTAATTTCGTTATCGATTTCCAGTCCGTGTTTCTCCCGGATTTCTGTGAAAAACGCTTTTGCTTCTGGAGTAGCAAGCACGTTGTTCTTCTGTTCCTTATTAACGCAATACTCGATGTAGAGCTCATTGAGCAAATCAATCCAGACGGTGAACGAAGCACCAACTGCTTCAGGCTGGTTCTCGTATTTCACAAGTTCCGGGAGAAGTTTACTGAAAAAAGTTTTGTTTTATTTCAACAGATTACGATAGATTGACTCACTCATGATGAAATTGATATATTTTTTCGATATTACCAAATATATCATACTTCTGTAATGTCGGAATTGAACCATTCTTCGTAGCCTGATCAAACTCGGCGACATATCTAAAAACCCAAGTGTTATCATATGATTTGTTTCAAAACGTGCTTACATGCTGATACATTTCTCCAAATCTTTAATATAATCCTTCTCAGACTGAATGAGTTCCCGCATTGGTTCAAGAACTTTTCGATTTTCAGCCCGCTGCTCGCTGATTGCTTTTTCATTGAATATGGCTGTGTCGGAGTGTCGATCCAGTGAGAATTCGTCTTTCGATGAACTTGATCCGCCATTTTCGCCACGCAGAACGACTTCACAATCGCCGACTCGTCGAGAAAATTGATTGAATTTCTCTTTCACCTGGAAAAGGCTACATTTAGAAAGACACAGAAAACATCAAGACATACCTTAATCATTCAATATATTAAAAACAGATTGTTATTATATTTCGATTAAAATTTGAAAATTATGAATTCGGAACGAATTAACGAAAAATACTGAGAAAAGTTTAAAATAGATATTCCGATCTCCCTTCGAAAAATCGCAATTTCCGTTATGAATTTTTAGATAATTGTTTAGAATATCAAAATTGGTTCGAAAAAGTTTTTTTCTGTATTTTTACAGTCGAAATTTATTCTGACGTTCTTGAAACTCATATTTGAAACTTGAATATCAAAAACTCACTTGTTCGATACATCGTTCAACCTGATCTCCATGAACGCCTCGAACCATCGATTCGTCTGAGCAAAGCAAGAACGTCTGAATCTCCGTTTTCTTTTGCTTCACTTCTAATTTGAATTTGGCGAATTCGTCATCTTCATCGTTCAACTCGCCACGTCCTCGTTTCTCAAACTGTTTCAACTTCTCATTTCCTTCACCAGTCATGAATTTTAGAAGATCTTTAGCAGTGGCTTCGATGGCAATGAAGTTTTGGCATCTGTAAGAACCTCTTTTGCAATTTTACAAAAAGTACTAGTAAACTTGTTTTTATTTTTCTTTTTCAAGTTAAAGCTCATGCTGATAACAAGATGTTCCAGCTAGATAAAACCAGTTAACACCCTATGTGTTCAGCCAACATTGTAGGTACATAAATAGATTTCACGCAACAAAACTACCGGAATCAAAGAAACACTTACCCTTCAAGAAGTGATTTTTTCTGTAACCAAAGTTCCAGTATATTCGACTGCCTCTCTCGAATGTTTGACTTCATCTCGGCGATTTGTTTTCATGCCGCTTCCTGGAACCGTAATTTCTCTCATCAGATGTCTCATATAAGAGGCGAAGATCGTAAAACGCATATGCGCGAAAAATTAAAAGATTCTCGATTGTTAATAACACTTTCTATCGAATTATCAGGATCTCCATAGCAAACATTCGAAACGAACAAAAGGTAGCTTATTCCCTATGTCTAAAATTTTACCCAAGAAATCAACACAGAGTCGACGACTTTCAAATAGCAAAATATCGAGAAGGAACACACCATCTTGGGGGTTTCTGTCTGAATTCAAAAATGGGACATTCGTTAAAGAGGAAACACATGCTCAGTTTGTTGATAAATCTTTTTAACACATGTTTGCCTCTCCTACATGAAAATCGTTATTTTCTCGCTTACCGTTCACTAGCGGCAACGTTGGCTCTTTTGATGTACCGTAGAAGAAAATCTCCGTTTCTCAATGCATACGTACATCCTTTACCGAATCGTTCCTTGTAATCCATGTGTTTACTGAGCAAATCTGCCACGTAAGAAGCTCGGTCTGAGTGTACCGTTGATGGACATCCAGCACACCAATCCGTTACAGTTGGAGAGTGGTATTCAGATTCCAGTTGGTTGAGAATCGGAAGAACTGCTGTTTCATACGTTTTATAGCAACCATGGGCTGATTTTAAAAGCTTATTCCTTTCTTCACAAAGTGCCATTAACCGTCGATATTTTGTCTGTATCATTTCATTGTGATGAACAACTTCATCTCGATTCGCCAGACGATTCTCCATCAGTTCACGAAATCGAACGACGAAAGCATCATACGGATCCCTGAGTCTGATAGTAACAGCATCTCGGAAAGCACGCAGTTCTTCTTGCTTTTGAACTGTGTCATTGTAATCATGTGGAATCACTCCTAGCTTTGTGAGAGCTTGCAGTTGGGTTTCTATCAGTCGACAAACTCCTAAAGAAACTTTTCGTAACTCGACAACTTCCCGAACTGCATTTATCCGTGATGATGTTTCATTAGCATATGCCATCACTCTAGACTCATCTATTTCTAGCTCTCGAATGTGATCTCGTATTGCTTCCAGTACTATCCGATCTCTTTTATCTCTGAGATCTGTGAGCTTGTGACTGTAGAGTACTTGAGACAATTCCATTGCTGCTTTTTGAATCGATGATATTGCTTCTCGAACCTTTTCTTGATTCTCGATGTGATAAGGCATGACGTTATCAGCTTTGTCGTGAAATGAAGGTGACTCCACCATTTCTCTCATATCTTCTTCCCATCCTTTTATCTGCTCCAGGACTTCATATTTATTCTGTTCGAACATCGCAAATTTGGAAGCGATGTGGAGTAGTGTCCGGCGAGGTCCCCATTCTGACGAAATCTGCGTATTCTTATTTTCTGGAAAAAATAACATTATTTTGCGAATCTAATAAAAACCTCACCGATATCAGAAATGAGTGTTTGAATGTGTGCAATACTAACAGTATAGTCAACATCAAATATCCTTGTAGCATTATGCATCATTTCGATCAACATTTTCCCTTCGTCAATTGTCATTGCATATGCCTGAACCGAACTGGTTTGAATCAACTGATTTCTGTTGATTAAAAGTTACCTGTGCAGTTTCATCGGTTTCCAGAACGAATCGTTCTTTGTTTTTGTCACAAACTGGAACGGTCAGCTCTATCCGTTTCTCGTTGTACTTTTCTCGCATTTTCGTATACCAATCCGTCAGTTCCGTATAATGAGTGTGAAAGAGAACAGATTGTCGGAGTAAATGCTCTCTCGACTGTTCAATAGTAGTGAATTTTTCAATTTTAGCTGTGAGATCGGTCATAAGTTCTTGCATCTTGTTAACATCGCATACTTCTGAAATCACATGAGTAAATAGTTTCAATTCTGTAAGAAAAAATCACTTACGACTTCCTGAGTTAGAAACATCTTGATATACTCGTCTTAGTTTTTGTACATTTCCGTAAGTGTTAGCTGCTACCCGTTGAAAATTTGAATGATTCCGTTGAAAAGTTCTAGCTTGATTCACATTTTCCCCTATATGAATATTTCGTCGTAAATATGGCTCTCCATGAAGCTGAAGCCAATCGACTACTAATTTAACGTCCGTCTCGAATGCTATCATGGCAAGCATGTGGTGAAGAAGTACCTAAAATGGACAGTTTTAGTTGGCAATATCACAAGACTGAAAGAATTTTTAAAAGCAATATGTGAATTGAACTGCTTGAAATAAAATCGATTTTTCGAGTCTTCACTGCGTGCGCTACGCGACATGTATGAGAGCGGCACAAATGCCATGCGTCGAAAGCGACAGAAGGAGGAAACGTCGCACCATCTGCTGTTTATAAACCAACTTGCCTGCCTTTCTTTCCATTTTTCGCCTAGCTGTTTATGAGCTCTTTGTAGCCGACTTGAATGCTCTTTGGCAACATTGTCTTCTGTTTCGGATTCTTTGAGTGATTTCATCAGATTCAATGCATCCTCATATGCCTGCGCATAGACCTCCTCTACCTGCGCCCAGAATCCGTCATGTGTTCTGATGGCGATTTCCAAAGATTCTTGAGAGAACATCACATCATTCGGATTGATTCCCGGCTGTGCTGTCCAAGCGGGTATCTCAGCGAAATAGCATTGTGCTGATGAGAAAAATTTTCGAGCATTGTGCAGAATAGTCGCTCTTCGTTCCATCAATTCTTTTACGAGACGCCATTCATTCGTTAGTCGTTCTGTTACATGGTCAGTCTGAAATTTATATCAACATTCAATTTGATTTTAGAAGTTCAATCATACGATTTGATTTCGAGCCCCACTTGTCCGCAGTTCATTTGCTTGATCAAAAACGCGTTTGACAGACACTTCCATCGCCTGAAGGAAAGTATTGAGAAATTTAAAAGAACGGAGCTTAAAACTAGAACTTTTGATCAAACACCAATATGTGAGGTATTTACAGTAGAATCTGTAATAGAATTGCCCCATGACTTTTTACATATGTGTCAATTTATCTTGGTACCTGTGAAATATTATAAAAAGTTGTCAACTGATAATTTTTGTATCATAAATATTATCACAAAAATTTTATCAGTTGAAATTTTTTCGAAATCTTGTATAGGAGCCCCTCTATTACAGGTTTTACTTTACATTACCATGAATTGTTTTTGTTTGACATTAATTAAGACTTACCTTGACAGCAACTTGAAACTTTTCAAAATCTTCCGCAAGAGCGTTTACGTCGCTAACACATCCGCCAACATCTCCCATGCTTCGTTCACATTGTTTCTTGTAGGGTCGTAGGGCTTCAACCATTTTCTCGACATCCTCCTCGAAACGTTTTTGATAATACACTTTAACCAGTTCAGCTTGCCGGGTGTCCCAACTTTTGTGAACTTCGCCTCTGAATAGAAAATCATTTTATCACTTCTAAAGCTTTTTTTTCACTTACTTGAGTAATCTAAGAGAGTCCGTAAGATTTGAGATATAGGGCGTAGTGGCTTGGAGATCTGGGTTTTTGACACCTTTAGGCGGTTGCAATATTCGATTGACAATCTGTAACGCATTTACTAAACTGACAATCTCCTTTCAGAACCTTACTTTGTTTCCTTCCGCTTCAATATTGTCGACTGGAATATTGAAAATATTGTTCTTAGCTAACTGACTTTTTTTCAATGCCGCTTCAGCAGTTTTCACATCAATTGGATGTTCTCCTTGGCACATATCTCTTCTCACGGCTTCTAATGTTTCCATAATCTCAGTGATGTTCCATATCCATTTTTCAAGATCCATCCTAATTTCAAGCCATTCGTCATGATCATATGGATAGTTTCCTCCAGATATTGATTTAGGTAGTTGGGATGAATCAATTATTTTGATAAGAGATTCGAACGAGATCATTTCAACTTCAAAATCCCATGTTCCTAAGGACATCTGCGCTTTCTGTTTCTCCCAAAACTTTTCAGGTTTAATGATGAACACTTGTATTTTTGTTGAATTGTCAATACTCTGAAAAAATGTTTTTTTCGGACGTTATGTTTTTTCGCAGTAGACAACGTACGCTGAGTGCCTTCAGAATATTTCGAACGTTGGCCCATGTCTGTTTTCCACGCATATCAATTACTACAAGGAATCCTTTCTCTCGGGCTTCTTTTCTGTAAAGAACCAAATTTGTTTTGGGTTCAGAATTTTAGTTTTTTTTTCGGAACACATATTTTTGAAATCAGGAAAACTTACGATGTAACTTCGAACAGATAAAGAAGCACATTGCGTAGATGATCTTGATTGACGAGTTGTTCTCTAGGAGGACACACTACGACTGCTTGACCGGCTCGACATCGTCCACCATGAAGTATAGCTATGCCATCTCGAAGAACGTGTAGGATATCTTCTGCTTTCATCGTCATCTGAAAAAACCGAATGAGTCAAAACGAGAAAAAACGCGCTGAAATATCACTGTTTGTTGCTGCAATAGGAGAAGGTCTTTCGGAATTCAATTTTCCGTCAGATGAGAAAGATGAGGAATAATGAAGAGTCTCAGAGATAGAAAGATGAGGGAAGAGTCGAGAGGGGAACGAAAAATGGGGATGAAACTACTGACTGCGAGTGGGGTGGCTTCGGTCACATTGCACTGCAGTTTATCACCAAGTTCAATCTGTTAATCGACTTTTTGTGAGAGGATGGTGTGTGTGCGTACGCGCGTCGTCCGTTCCGCGCCGAGTATGGTAGCCAAATAACATTCAATTCATGGAGAAAAAAAAAGAAGCAAAGAGAACATTGCATATACGGACCAAGTATAATCTATTGAATTATTTATCACTGATATATCAGGATATGGTTTCGAGAATGACCTTATTATATCTTGGTTTAGGAGAAAAGATGGTACGAATGCGCTATCCACATTTGTGAAAAAAAAAACATTGTTGACTCGAGAAAAAAAAGAAAACCCAACACAAGCCTTAAGAGATTTCTTTCCTTTCGCCTTCCTCCCATTTTTCTGTCATCACACGAGACATTCTTTTCGTCCGATTGCCATAAACTGCCTCCATTACACGCTCCAGTCTTTTTTCGCTGTTTCCTTCCTCTACACGCTCTCCCACAGAACAATTCCGAACTGCAAATTAATTTTTGATCTACAGAAAAAAGTTTGGCGCGATCACAATTGCAGGTCTAAAACCATAATTTCAGAATTTTTTATCTGATTTTGTGGAGTTCCAAGATGATTCAAATGATTCTTTAAAAATTAATTAGTGGATAGATTCATGTATGGTCGTTTTCCGGAAGAAAAAATGTCAAAAATGGCCATTTTTGAAAGTTTTTTACAGAAAAAATCTATCTCCTCTTTCAGTTTTTGACATTTCTACGAGTTCTATAGCTCAAAAAAACCGCAATTATTTTCTCTACATTTTCTATGGATGAATTTTTAATTTGTCTGATAAAACTTATTTTATAATTCAAAAACCTCATGAAATTGCACAAAATAGCATTTTTACGTTGTTTTTTGATTATAAAAAGTTTTATCAGACGAATTAAAAATTCGTCTATAGAAAATGTAGAGAAAATAATTGCGGTTTTTTTGAGCTATAGAACTCCTAGAAATCTCTAAAACTGAAAGAAGAGATAGATTTTTTCTTAAAAAAAAATTTCAAAAATGACCATTTTTTCTTCCGGAAAACGACCATATAGGATTCAATAACCACTAATTAATTTTTTAAGAATCATTCGAATCATCTTGGAACTCCACAAAATCAGATAAAAAATTCTGAAATTATGGTTTTAGACCTGCAATTGCGATCGCGCCAAACTTTTTTTCTGTAGATCAAAAATTAATTTGCAGTTCGGAATTGTTCTGTGGGAGAGCGTGCTCTAGTAAATATTCTGCGTCTATTTGAGGTCATAATCCCTTTTCGATAGTATAAAATAGAACAGAACTTGCCGAACGTTGTTCGAGGTTCCAAACGCCCCATATGTTTCTATGATTCATTTGAAGAGCAGAAGAGGGATATCCTGTTTAACGCTTCACAACTTTACAACCGATCACTATTTCATTTTTCCTGTCTAATAGTAAGTGTCACTTTCTCTTTCTCTATCTCTCCCCTCTACGTGAAAATTAATGGATGAGAACAAGAATACGAGTGGGTCTAGGTATCGGAAGTATTGAGCAGCAATGAGTGGCCGAAAACAATTAGCTTCCAAAAATATTCTCACAGATTCAATTCTTAACGAACAGTTTGCACTCGACCGGGTCTTCCGTTTCCCGCATTAATCGCTTCAATGGATTATGGCGCCAGCATGGTCTAACGCTGATGATTTTGTTTTGGAATACTTTGAAGGAAGAAAAACTCACTTTACCATCCTTACTGAGTGGCATTTCCAGTAAATTGAACTGAATCTGTAATTGATGTCAGCATATATCGTGCGTGTGACGAAAGGAACCCGCTGAAATTGATAGAATTGAATAAAACAAAATTGTAGAGATAACGGTCAAGAGGTTCTGAGCGGGATCAAATAGAAGAGAATTCATGTCAGTGGAGACCGATTGCGAAATTATGGGAATTTGCGATAACCGTTTTCGGTTGGTGAAGAGCAAAACAATTTGCATACTGTCCTTTTTCATAAAAGAAAAATACAAAAAAAAAACAGTCAGCAGATGAATTTGTTGTGAGTTGAAAAGATATTTTAGAAGAAAGATATCTGGGTGTGAGAATTGAAAAAAAGAAGAAACGATAAGAAACGCGCAAAACGAACTCTTTCAAGAGGGCCCGCGTGTTTAAATGGAGCCGAGGGGTGGGCACCACCGGGAATAGTGCACAAAAGCGGGAGGAAAGGGAATTGTTATGGGAGGCTAACGGCCGTTGGAGCAGACCGATGGTCGGGTAAGACAATGCTGAAGACATGAGAAGCGCAGAATGAGAAAGTGAACGCAGGGGTCAAAGCGCGACGGGTAGTCGGATGGTAGTGGACAGGACAAAACCGAAACAAGGAAGAAAGGAAGACATGAATGGGTAAGTACTAGTAGCAGGTGCAAATGACGAAAACGACAGATGACAAGAAACTACTTATGTTGGCAACTCTTCAAATCTGCAGAATTATCTTGTTTGAATTTTGAATTTCGTCTGAATGAATATCATTTTCATTTTAGAGCTAACATATTTATACGCTTGCTTTTATATATTGATAAATAGGGAACTATAGAAAATAAAAAGAATCATTGATAGTTGTCGACTTAATTTCTTTCTAAACCACACGAAACACTGTGCAAACATTAGCACACATGTTAGAGATTAGGCTTCCTAAGGATCAGTTCGCCATATGGTACGAGCTGTCAGGAGAAGTCGGAAAACCATGGTTTTACATTTCGTATTGTCGAATTAAAAAAAGTGGGACCTGGAAAATTTCGCGGGCGGCTTCCCGGTCAATTTTCGAGGCCTTGTCCCAGAAACACTACGGTAATAAACGAAAATTATTTCTGTGAATTTAGTGGGATTTTCTGGACAAAATTTTGATTTCTTGGTATGAAATGATCGCTAGCATCTCTAGAATCTGTTTTTCATCGAAAAAACCGAACTTAATTGCGAAGTAGCTCGAACGAGGAGAAAATCTGAAATATTCCGTTTTTGCCGCACTTTTTCGTAGATCAAAAAAAGCTACGCCTTTAAAATTTTCAGGTCCCACTTTTTTTAATTCGACAATAAAGAAAACCAAAGTATGACGAGATTCAACCCATTATTCAAGTTACAGTTCAAAAAAAGATGATAAAAAGATTTACTTTAATAAAAGCAGATAAAAACATAACATTTGATTGAAACAAAAACGAACTATTCGTTGCCGAATTCAAAAAAAACTTGCACATGAGAGTTCGGTTTTTATATCGGTTTTGGAGCCGAGATTTTCAGGTGTCAGTTTTTTTAATACGGCAACATTAAGTTTTAACAAAAGATTACAGTTGTGCACAAAATAGGATACCCTCAAAAATGGGCTTTCTGAAAACGGAAAATTTTAAACTTTGATAGAGAAGCCAATAATTCAGGGAGTCCTATTTTTATCACACAGACTGTATTCAAATTTAGCGAAGAGTTCGAAAATAAGAAACGTAGATCGGTTAGTCGACGAATTCTCCATTTCTGATAGCATAGATTCTGTCAGAGTCGACCAAATTCAGTCCTCCAAATATCTTCTGCTCCGACTCTTCTTCTGAGTCCAATCTTGATTTTTTCTTCGACGATTTCAGCAATTTTTGTGATTGTTTCTGCATAGTTGAGACATACAGAACCTCTTTGCATGATGGCATCGAGCATTGGCAGTGAACGAAGTCAGTCAACTTCTCGTACAGTGAAAATATTTGACCATCTGATAAAATTAATTAACAGTTTTGATATGTTTTTTTGAACTAACCTGGAGCAGGGTTTTTCAGGAAATGGTCTTTGACATCACTTTGGAACATTTGGAAGTAGTCAAGTGAAACGGTATAGGTACACGAGGAATCAATGGAAACGAGGGAATAAACCACAAGATCTGGGACATCGTTTCCGGAGTTCACCAAACGAACACCACATGTTGGCTCACACTGCAACAAGGTTAATCTAAGTTTTAACCTGATGATGTTTTAAAACATACATTATGTGGGACGTACTTGGAGAAATCGAAGAATTCGCGTCTATCAAGACACATGCCTGAATTCGGAATTTCAATGAATGAGCTGAATGCCACTATTTCTCCTTCTTCCTCCAAACACTTCTGAGCCACTGCAACGGGACGGACGATTCCTGCGATCACCAACAATGGGGTGTTTTCATCAACCTCTTCGTTCAAAGTGAGATTCCATCCACACGCCGGATATTGAGAGAGGCTCATGCGAACATTGAAGCGAGGGTTGGAGCTGTAAAAATAAAATTTTTGGTTTCAAATTTTTAATCATTGATTTACTTGAAATCCAGTCTATCTTTTTCCAGAATTGGTTTGATTTTCTTGTCCGAAATTTCTTCTAAGTGTGATCTATCAATGAAAGGAGCCACCTAAAATATTAATTTCTGGTTCATTATTATATTTTTGAAAAAAAACCTTATTGAAACCCAAGATGTCAGAATTCGGAGGGAAGTGATACTTGTCGCTTTCACGTTCCTCGAAAATAGCTTCTGAGATTGGTTCGAACAACAATTTCGAGAGAGGAGGAGGAGAATAAAAAACAGTTTGTATTTGATATGGAATCCTTATAGTGATCTTTGGGTAGTCGGTGAATGACTTTTGCAATAGATCTAGCTCTTCTTGATATTGTTTCATATCTCGTCGCACGTCATCCTCAGATGGAACAAACAGAGACTTCAGAATGTATGATTGTTCACATGTAATCATGTGTTTCAAGTATCTGACCCTGCTCGGAATCGAATCGACATTCACGAATTTCACAGATCCATTGAGAACTGTCATTTGCCCAATGGATGTCAGAGGTTCGATAACGTCTAAAAATTCGAAAAAAAAGTTGCAGAAAATGCTTGTAGAGCGGGTCAAAAATTACCCAAAATGTAGTTTTTATTATTTTTCATGGATTTGATATCCTCGATTGATTCAGGAATTGTGTCCAAGTAGGCGATAGGGTCCAATCGTCGTACCAGGTAACTCAGAATCTTATCATCGCAAGTCAACCTGAACTCCGGCTCCTGAGTATTTTCCTCGGATGGAAATCCTTTCCACTTGACTTCGAAATATATAGTATTTCCTTTGTTGCTCTGAAACCAATTAACATCAATTCCGGTTGCGCTCGCAAGTATTTACAGTTCCGATCACTTTTTCTACTTCATACTGAATATTTCCAGCAGCCTCCGTTTTAACTGGTCGAGATGAGCGGCGTTTTTTATGTGTAAGTCTCTAAAAATGAATTGTGTAACAACATTTATTTTCGTCGCTATCGAAAAAACTTACTCTAACTTTTCTTGCCATTTTTTTATCTAAACGTTCAGACTGAATAAACTGATATTCTTAGATTCCGCAGGCACCAGGTAATATTCACAGCATTGACTGAAAACCTGGTAATAATCATTGAATACGGTGAATACAAGATAAACGGCCGTATTAGCATAACCACCATAAATATATTTGAAAATTATAAAATAAGTTATGACAAATAAATGAACATCGAAAAAACGGTTGTTTAGTCGTTTCGCTTCGATTAGCAATGCTACCGAACAAGGCAAATACTCAGTTGCTACCAGATCAATTGCTTTTTGACCAGTTGCTACTTTTGTCTCAGTTGCTATGACTCAGTTGCTACTTTTGACTCAATTGCTCGCATTTTCCCAAATTTCAAAATCTCAGTTGCTACAACATGACTCAGTTGCTACTTTTGTCTCAATTGCTATAGAAAAAGAAAGACGAATAGAGGTGTGCAGGTGTTAAAATTTACTAGCAAGGAAAAAAAAGAAGACCTGGTGAAATATCATTCATAAGTGGTTATTTAATTATTTCCACACAAATTGTGTTTTGATTCAGATTCAACAAAAACAATAAAAAAGGTTGAATCAACAAGGTTAAGAAGAAGAGATTGGCTAATAAAAAAAGCAACAGGCAAGAAAAAAATATGACAGAACTGGTGGGGAAGTGAAGGAAATTGAAGGAATAGGCTAAAAAATTGTAGAATCTCCAGATGCATCCATGATATCGTCGTCTCGCTTAGAAGTATACTTACGGAGAGGTTTTCTGAATAACGCGTGTTTATAATCAGGGCTAATCTCTTAAAATTACATTAATTTCTAGAACGTACACAATAGAGAACTGTAAAATAATCTTCACAAATTTCACAAACTCAGGATTTTAATGTTTAATTTAGGTCTTAAACCCCAGTCCATACTTCCCTCACTACCAATTTTTCTTAATTGTTTTTTCTCAATTCTATTTCATTTCCTTTTGCTTTCAATATTCCTACGCTTTTGCCCAATTTTCCGTTTTTTCCGAATTTTTCAATTTTTCTCAATTTTCCCCAATTTTTCAATTTTCCTCAAGTTTCGTGGTAATTGAAATGTTCTCATTTTTTCATAATTTTCTAAATTATTGAATGAAGGAAACAATCACAATTCAGTGATTTTCCCACAAAAATTCAAAACTCCCAAAAATTGGCTCAAAATGAGCTATTTTCACACTACAAAAACACTACAAAAATTATTAAATTAAGTTTTTTCGATTAATTACCACGAAAATTTGAACAAAAACTATGAAAAATGAAGGAAAATAGAGAAAAATGGGATTTGCGAAAAGCTGTGAATTTTACGAAATTTCCCATGGAAGAGAAAACCCCGCAGCTCGGCCACGGCCATGGACTGATGACGTCATCACTGGGAAATTTTATTTTGGGATTTTTCTCCGTTTTCCTTCGTTTTTCATAGTTTTTGCTCAAATTTTCGTGGTAATTAATTGAAAAAACTTAATTTAATAATTTTTGTAGTGTTTTATTGCCCAGTTCGAACAATTTTCGAAAGAAAATAGCTCATTTTGGGCCAATTTTTGGGATTTTTGAATTTTTGTGGGAAAATCACTGGATTGTGATTGTTTCCTTTATTCAATAATTTAGAAAATTATGAAAAAATGAGAACATTTCAAATACCACGAAACTTGAGGAAAATTGAAAAATTGGGAAAAATTGAGAAAATTTGAAAAATTCGGAAAAAACGGAAAATTGGGCAAAAACGAAGGAATATTGAAAGCAAAAGGAAATGAAATAGAATTGAGAAAAAACAATTAAGAAAAATTGGTAGTGAGGGAAGTATGGACTGGGGTTTAAGACCTAAATTAAACATTAAAATCCTGAGTTTGTGAAATTTGTGAAGATTATTTTACAGTTCTCTATTGTGTACGTTCTAGAAATTAATGTAATTTTAAGAGATTAGCCCTGATTATAAACACGCGTTATTCAGAAAACCTCTCCGTAAGTATACTCCTTCTAAGCGAGACGACGATATCATGGATGCATCTTCTGGAGATTCTACAATTTTTTAGCCTATTCCTTCAATTTCCTTCACTTCCCCACCAGTTCTGTCATATTTTTTTCTTGCCTGTTGCTTTTTTTATTAGCCAATCTCTTCTTCTTAACCTTGTTGATTCAACCTTTTTTGTTGTTTTTGTTGAATCTGAATCAAAACACAATTTGTGTGGAAATAATTAAATAACCACTTATGAATGATATTTCACCAGGTCTTCTTTTTTTTCCTTGCTAGTAAATTTTAACACCTGCACACCTCTATTCGTCTTTCTTTTTCTATAGCAATTGAGACAAAAGTAGCAACTGAGATTTTGAAATTTGGGAAAATGCGAGCAATTGAGTCAAAAGTAGCAACTGAGTCATAGCAACTGGGAATATAGCAACTGAGACAAAAGTAGCAACTGGTCAAAAAGCAATTGATCTGGTAGCAACTGAGTATTTGCCACCGAACAAAAAGGAAAAACAAAACATCCGGGATTGAAGGCGCATTGTGGTTGAAACGGTGCAGGTCTCGAAGCGCTTACCGTATCGGAACTAATTTCAAAAATCTCAAAACACTTTTCACACAAAATTGCGACTGATTCCGACTGATTCAAAAGAAAAAGCTTTATGAAAAACACAAGAAAAAACACAAAACCCGTTAAAATTTATTTAGAATAACGGTCAGTACTCCAATGTTCCTTCACAATATGCGTGTACGCAAAAGAAGTGAAAACAGACACAAGGAAGCATGAAACACGAGAATACGAGATATATTACAGAGAAAAAGAGAAAATTAATTTTCATCATTTGTGATTGGTAGCAGCAAGATCACAGACTTCGTTGAACTTGCCAATCGCTTGTCTCCACGAAGAACCGTCAAAATTCGTTTCCCAGAAATCGGAAAACTGTTGAATGGCTTCAGACCAATCAGGGAGTGTGTGGACTGATTTAATGTTGAGGAACTTGTTGATAATGTCGAAGATGATGTTACGAAGAACGTTTCGTCTCTTGATATCACAGCTCAACGAGTACTCTCCCACTTTGCTGCCCGTCAATTTTCCGTACTTCGCGGTAACCACAACAGCCATAGTGGCGGCGAAGCCAAAATAGTCCGCCTGATAATTCCATGGGCGTCCGTCAATCATTTCCGGCGAGTCGGAATCTTTAGTTCCAGCTCTTCCCTTGAATGTCTGATCCTTCAGCTGCATCATATCGATGGCACGTCCCCAATCGATAATCTTCACCACAAACGTATCATTGCTCATTAGAGCGTCCTTGTCCCAGTTAGGATCAATCCTAAAACATTTTCAACTTAATTGAACCAAATTCATTGACTCACTTTCTAGTAATCATGAAGTTATCTGGTTTGATGTCTCCATGAATGATACTACAAGCATGGACCTCCTTCAAGATACGAGGCATTTGGGGGAGCAAGAAGCAGGAGATGTGCCAGTTCGGGTCCATCATACTGTTGGCGTACTCCAGAAGTGTTCCATACTCGTGTTATTCGTTGACAAGGAGTGATGCCGTAGAGAAGACGTACGCATCCATCACTTTCATAATACACCAATCAGCCATCTTCACTCGATCCTCGCGATCCTTGATCAACCGATTGCGCATTTGATCGCAAATGTACACTTCCCAGGAGCACGACGGAACCTCATACTTCACAGCCACCACTTTATTCTCCTCGTTCACAGCCTTGTACACTTTGGCGTATCCTCCCTGCCCAATCAGCGTTTGGATATGGAACACTTCTCCTCCAACTTCACAATCCCTGTTCGCCTGGATCTTCGGTGCTCTCTCCTGGAATTCGTGCATGTTGATTGGCGCACGGACTGTTGCCATCAATCTTCTACGGAGTGTTTCATCCCACGGATTCATATCTCCCTTTCTGATGATCTCACTACGACGGCGGTTGAGAATTCCAGTTGTTTCTGCTTCGTCAGCGACGATGGCAGCTCGAATCGAAAAATAAGAAAATCGAAAAATAAGAAAAATCGAATTACCAATTTATTGAAAGTGCTTCCAGTTGGCACTACAAACTTTGATTGGACAACATCCTCCTCTTCCTTACGATCAGCCTCCGACTTGTTTCCAAAGTACGACTCGATATCCACAAACGCATCTCCGGCAGCTGGTGTTGATGTGACGATTGAGCCATGTTTAATCTTTCCGAAGCCGTGTCCATGGATCAGCTCATCGTCGAACACTGGAAATTAATAGATTTATTGAAAATTACGTTTTCCCCAAAACTCACTATCATCTTCGTCTCCAAATGTTAGCGGAGTCCTGAGCGATTTTCCTGATAAACGAGTGTCTTCTAGCTCCTTCTTGATCTTTGAAACCGTTTTATCTTCGGCAGGCTCCTCTTTCGGCTCTTCAACCGGCGCGAGCTCATCGAAAACCATATTCAATCCTCCAGATGTCTTCTTTGGGCGATCATGAGTCAAATTCATTGTTGGATCAGGATCACAGAGCACAGAGAATTGCTGGAAATTTCGGTGGGCTTGATAGACATTGTTTCATCACTGATCACCATTGTTTTTGTCTGGAATGAACAGTATCAGAGAACATCGCATGTGCTTCCAAGCAATTATTCTCAGCCATCAGATCCAGCCCTCCACTCTTTGCAGTTCGGGTAGATGAGCTAGTGGTACTGCTGAGAGAGCTAGTACGAGTTGTATCTCTTCTAGCTGCCATCGTCTTCAGTTTCTCCTCTGTATCGCTATCATCTAGTTGGTTATAACTAATCTCCTTCGAAGAAGCCGATTCGGTATCGGACGAAAGGGTGATAGTGGCGATGTTGTCTTGGAATGTTTTAGAGTTTCGAAGCGCTGGTCTAGTGGCATCTTTCGTTGGAACCAATGGCGAGTAAATTCTGCTACGTTTCTCATCCTCATCGTCAGCGTTGGCTTCAGAGAGTGGGGAGAGCGGACGTCTTTTGAGATTCGATGCAATCCTACTGTCTATTCAGTAAAACCTCACTGTTCGAGTAAATAGGCTCAATACAAAATAATTGGTTGTATCCTAGGTTACAGTTCCATGATTCGTCGGGATTTTGTAGATGACTTGGACTGTGAACGTCCTTTTTGTATGTTCTTTATAACCCCGACAGCTGTCGAAAACAAGTTAGGATTATTTCGAAACAAACTCTTTTTCATCCCCCGCTCATTTTTTTTCGCTTGCAAGAGAAGCATTCGCAGCAGGTGAGAGGAATCCTCTGGATCCTTCATGAGCACTCCTTCTCACCTATTTCATTGGGAAGTAAGAACGTAAGACGCGCAGACATCAACAGAGTTTTATGAGATATTGTGTGTGAGTGTATATATGTGCGTTTGTGTGTATGTATGTGCGTGGGAAGTGGACTGACTGGCTCTATCTTACCCGCGGGATCTTCCCTGATGGGCGGGAGACGAGAGTATAGCGATTGTGGCGCCAGAAAAGAAACGCAAAGAAACACACAAACCAGAGCGGTGGGGCTCAAGAAAAGAGGAGGAATCCGGGTGCCAACATCATTATCGGGCCGTTTTTGTCTCTGCGTGTGGGATCTAATCTATCCTCACCTTTTTACGCTTCCTTCAGCCATCTGGAACATCTGAAAGTGGTCACACAGGCGTCAAGGTCGCTACCATCATGGCTAGTCGACGCCAAAAGCAGTTCGATCGGAAATATAGCTCCTATCGGTATGTTCAGGAGCCCTACTATTCATACTCCGAAGCTCTAACCGCCACAGATTTATCTGGGGTGGTGGTTGAGGGTTGACAAATGGATAATAGCTTTTTTGAGAAACATTTTTCATTATACAGTAATCATATCTAACAGAACTGCATATTTGTCTCAAAATACCGTATGCTAGTTATCATTCATCATTGGAACTCATCCACATTCCGTCATTCTCGTGTTCCTCGCCCTTTTTTAAAACTCAAAACTTTTATCACCACGCGGAGCGATCTTAAGACCTACTTGAACTGAAACAAAATTATTTGCACAAGAGGCATAAGATTGGAACGAATTCTAAAAACATCAGCTTTTATTTATCCTACATTCTATTTCAGAAAATTCACTGCCACTGAAGATTTCAACTACAGTACCCACTCATCTCGATCATCTTACCGTTCTGAATCAGTGACTTCAAGAACCGATGGACGCGGGCGGTCCACGTCTTCTGAAATCATTGCCGGATCAGAATCTCGATCATATCCAGTCTATATTGCTATCCAAGACTATACTCCCGACAAAGAGGATGTTGAAGCGATTCCATTGGAGCAAGGTCAAATTGTGGAGGTTCTAGACAAGAAAAACTCCATTCGATGGTTGGTTCGAACAAAGGTATCCCATTTCCCTAGTTTCTGCCTTTGGACTTTCTTTTTCATTTCAGGCTCGTCCTCCTCGTTCTGGATGGGTTCCGGGATCATACTTTGAAACTCCAACTGAGTTTTACAAGCAAAGAAGAAGAACGAGAGAAATCGAGAACGTCAGTCTGTCTGACGAACAGGCGGCTCTTGTCAAAAGAGAGTGAGTAGGATACCGCAAAAAAATAGAGAGCAAAAGTTTCGAAATATTCCTCAAATCAACGAAAGCGATAGAGGATTTAATAAAATCCCCAGAGAATTTGAAAAGCCATTAACCTGTATAGGGATTGGTTTCTTCCAGTTAAAGAGCTTTTGATATTACCGCATATTTCAAAACGTCTCCAAATAGTTTTCATGTAGTGCTCTTGCCCGCCCGCTCCATTAACATCAAAACGACACATTTAAAAATAATGTTATGTTGTGTTCTTCACCAGATGTTCGATGATAGATGTACAACAAACGTTTTTCGCCTACTTCTCTCTTAGCCGTCTCATTATTTCTCTCCTTTTTTCCGGCGAAACATTCGTTTGAAAGAGATAGAGAGAGGGATTTTGCTATGTAGAAAAATGAATCAACAGCCGCTTCTTTTTGGATAAAAAGATAAGAGAAGAGTAGGAGAAAATGAGATAAAATGACGGCAGTAAACATGACAAAATGGCAAGTCGAGCCAATCCTTCGGAGCACTGGCCAATAGACAAAAAGTGGAATCATTGGGAAACTATAGCAATATACATTACATATAAATTAACAAATTGTTTTTCAGTCAAGTCTACCATGAACTTCTTCGATCAGAGGAAGAATTCGTATCATCTCTGAGAACCTGCGTTGACGATTACATCAAAGTTCTCGATGATCCTGGAGTACCAGAAGCAGTCAAAAAACATCGTGAAGAGCTCGCTCTGAATATTCCAGAGCTCTACAATTTTCACGCAAAGTAACAAGCAATCTAGAAAAGCATTCAAAAAAATTATACAATTTCAGTGTTATGCTAAAAGGCCTCAATTACTATTCTGACGATCCGGGCAAAGTCGGTCAGACATTTGTACGCCTTGAGAAAGATTTTGAGAGTCATGTGGAGTTTTACAAACAGTACGCAGATACTCTGAAACTTCTTGAAGAACCAGAAATAAAACGTTTCTTTGAGGTAACGATCACTGAACTTGCATTCCTCCATTTGCCGCGAATTTTTTTATTGGTTTCCTTCTTTTTTTTCTTGTTTGAATTTTTCTTTTAAATTCCCAAATTTTAAATCATTCTCAACATTTATTTGATTGTTTTCATTTCCGTTTCATTTTCCTAATATTATCTTCAGATTTCAAGAAAGCATCTGAACTTTTTTCCGGATTCTTAACATTTTTTAAAAAATTCATTCTTCCTGTCAACATATTGAGTTAAATTGGCTCGTCAAAAATTCAGAAATATAAACTCCTATCCTCTGATTTATGCATTCTCCGTAAAAAAGTTATTTCAATATTCTCTCTGAACTAACCCGCTAAAGTACAGTAGTTGATTCAACCAGAACATTTTCTCCACTTTTCCTCCAGTCTATCATTCATATTTTTTCTTCAATTTTTTCTCTTTCACTGAACTTCTATTTATTCTCTGATATTCAAATTCCTTGTTTTTAATCATTCTGGTTGAACAATAAACTCAAAATTTAAATTTTGAGTTGAACTACTGTACTTGGCCATTCTCTATGATTCACTATCTGTATATTCTCATTAACATTCAACTAACAGTTACTATTATTCTAATATTTTCTGTCTATTCTAATGATTCCTATTTTAGCTTTGTTGCAAAACTATTCGATGTAAATATTACTCTAAATTTTTAATTTTTTTGCCTCTGTTGTCATCCTTCTCTTTCATTTGATTGTTTTGTTTATTGGCTTTGCATATCCCAGAAAGTAATTCACTTCACGGTATCCAAAATCTTGAATTTTCCGGAAGCTTTCCTTACAATTAGTCTCTGAAACTGGTTTATTTTGTTCGGTTTACCTTATGAAAGGGTTCATCATCTGAAAAGTTATCAATTGTAAAAACATCGGTTGTCACAAAAAATATTTCTGGAAACGCTCGAAAACCGAGAAAACACTTAAAAGTCCAAAAAAAAATTTCAGGTTACGGTAGTTGTCATTATGGGACCTTTGGCTACGGCCATACTACTAGTCCAGTTCAATTTTGCGAATTTGAAACCTTCGAGTCTACCAGGTTCTTTTTTGTTACTCTCGAATCAATCATAGTTTTTCAATTTTGATACACTTTGCTTGTAAAAGAAATTTTCAACTCCGATCGAATTTTCTAGTTCCGTACCGATCGTTTATAAGCTATCATACATAGTCTTGTTTCTCCACCTTTTATAAATAGTCTCTAACTTCATTCTACTCTTATCTAGTGATAATTTCAAATTAGCTTCCATCATTTTTTAAATGCTTACTGATGGTTCACAAGTAATGTGTGTGACACTTATTACTACCATTATCTCTATGTTTTCAAAATAGGATTGAGGTCTTCATTTAGGGATACAATTAAATTGAACACGTATTTTATGAGAACTTCTAACTGTCGACTGTGTGAAAATTCAGACTGTTTGATTTCTTTTATACCATCGACAACGATGCTCAAATATTATAATGATTTTTGATACGTTTGCTCTCTTCATAAATTGAAAATGAGAAATCTTTGTGGTACATTCATGTTGAAACAAAACTTTAAATTGTATCGCTCTCTTTATTTTGGACCAAACAAAAAATTCCAAACATTTCTAGGAATCAGAGGTCCATTTCAAGGCTTTTTCCAATGTGGTCGTAGAAAAGTTTTTGCATATAACATGAATATCAGAGATTAACAAAACTCCTTCTTCCTGATTTTTTCTCGTCCTTCCTACTATTCAAACAATTTCAAATTTAGAATTTTAAATTTTAAGCACATTTTCTAAACCTAACTAGGGAACTATCTGGGGTCGTCTCCAAGTTACACTTTATGACCTATATCATCACCTATATCATTTATCCTATATCATTTATACCTTGTACCACACACCAAAAGTGACTTTTTGAAAATTTTTTGAAAAGTGCTGAAAAATGTCTCAAACGTTCAGAAATGATAAAACTAGCATTCTCTTAAAATTTGGTGGCCCGATTTCGCCTTTGATCCCTTTAAGAAGCCGACAAACGCTTGAAATCAAATGAAAAGTATCTTTTGACATAATTTTCTCGAGCCTCCACCACCGTTTCGCAAAAACAGAAAACATATTCAGAATCAGAATTTCATGGGCTTTCTAATGATATAGGTCATGAAGTGTAACTCGGAGACGACTCCAGATAGTTCCCTAGTAAGATTTCACTGAAAATGTCGTTTAATGGAGTTACAAACCACCATCTTTACTATTAACAATCACCAAATTCTGTCTGTGTGTCCGTTTGTTCCCGGTCCCACGACCCTAGCGAAGTCCCCAGTAGACCAAAAATTCTCAAATTTTCACAGATGATCAGAAATAGCAGCGAGATGTTGCCCGTCTATTTTTCATTTTGAAATTTTGTTTCTGACGTCACCTGGAGACGTTACTCCATTCCTACAGTGCAACTCTTTAGAAAATTATTTTCACGTCACTTCGGTCCAACCCGTCTATTTTTTTTCTTATCCACAATATATCTGATAAAAAGGTGATTTTGTGAAAATAATTATTTAGTCTTAGTTTTGAAAGAAGAGAGAAAGAAAATGTTCAGTAAACTTTAAAATTCTGACTTTCTGAATCCCCTAACTTCTCAAAAACTGAATTTCGGAGTTTCTGATTCACGAAATTTGACTATTTTTTTTCGAAAATGCGAAATTTCTAACCATTCCTATGCTTCAAACATTTTGGTTTCACTCTGAAACTCTAAAATTCTAATTCAGAAATTCGGAAAATTGGAAAAACGGGAACTCGAAAATACGGAGATTTGAAACTTCGGGAATTTTAAAGTTTGAAAATCAGAGAATTCAAATGTCCAATGTTTCGGAAATTCAGAAGTATAACAATTCAGATATTCGGAATAGTACGAAATTAAAAAATTTGAAAGTTAGAACACTCGAAATTTTGAAAATCCAAAATCTCGAAAACAAAAAACCAGAAAAACCAGAAACTCAGAAGTTCAGAATATCAGAAAGCCCAAGTTCGGAATTTAGAAAATTCGGAAATTCATAAACTTTGTGAATTAAAAACTCAGAAATGTGTTTTAGAGAAAATTCTGAAAATCTGATTCGTGTTAAAATTTTTAATTTTGGGAATTTGTGAAGTAGAATCTCAGAAAGTCGGAAATACGGAAACTCGAAAATACGAAATTTAAGAAATTATGAGTTTTGAAATGAAGTATTTTAATAGAAAAATCGTTGAGTTCTAGAATCGCAGTTCCGAAAATTCAGGACTCCTGAATTTCGAAACTTCTGAAAAAATTATAAGTTGTCAAATTTCAAAATATTCGGGAATTCAGGAAAATTATTAGTTCTAAAAATTTGGAAATTTTGAACAGTTCGTGTATCAACTAAGACACATTTCTGATCTACATTTCTTATTTATCTGTCCAATCCCAAACTCAATCGGTTAAGGCTGTTGTAAGCGGGAGCCAGAAGGTTTAGCCCCTATGAAAGTTGACAACACAATCAACTAAAACTTCCTCTTCTGATTCTCTCAGATTTGGAGATTCAAACGTTTTTAGTGAAGCCAGGAGATTAAAGCCGCCGACAGGCGGCAGAAATCGACTGGTTTTATGTGATTCTCAAATTTATCCAAAAAAAGGATTTGCTAAAAAGTTTTGAAAGTGTCTTCCGTCTTTTCAATTTTCCTCCCTTCTTCAGTATTTTCAAAATTTGCATTCCGACCATCTCTGATGTATAGATTTTAAAAGAATCTCATATTTCGCGGAAGGTTTTCACATTTTTGAATTGAAATAGTTTATCATTGTTTTCATTTGATTTCTCGATTTTCATTGGAGTTCGAAGTTGGTTCTTGAAATCAAGACAGGAAATTTTTTTTGGCTGAGCACATGATGCCTTCTGTTGTAACATGACTTTTCGCATTGAACATGTCCACGCTGTATCATCTTTTTTCTATTTTTCACTGATCAAACATCTGATTTATAATTAAGAACATAGTATTTCATAGTAAAAACATCTGGGAATAATTATCATAATGCATCTGATCAGAAAAAGAGACACTTTATTTTACACAACTAAGATATTAGGTTGGCGGGAAAGTCTTTGTCACTCTGTTTGTTTAATCACTGTTCTCGTATATGGAGGCTGTGTATGATATCGACTCTAGTGAATAACAAGGTGATAAGAACCTTCCATATAAACAAGTCCCCATCTCCTTCCCTGCTCCTCATCTGTAATTGAAACGATATGTTTGTTCCCACTGCTATTCACATCAGACATGTTTTGATTTACCTCTTCCTATCTCACACCACGATGAAGGATTCGGAAACTTTCTTGAAGAATGTGTACAACACACATGCCCCTCACTACAATACTATTCGCAATTGGTTCCATCGTTTCGAAAAAGATGACTTCTCGCTCGATGAAAAGGATCGCTCTGGGTGACCCCGTGAGTTGGATTTGGACAAGCTGAAGCACGCATTGCAATCGGATCCATTTCAATCTAGCCGTGAACTAGCTGTCACATTCGGAGTTCACCATAGCACAGTCCTTGAAGGTTTGAAGTCTCTTGGAATGAGAAAACTTTTTGGTCGATTCATACCTCATCACCTGACTCAAGCCAACCTTGACCGCCGAGTCGACGATTCGATTACTCTTCTCACTCTCCACGCGGGCGATCGATGGCTGGACCGGCTAATAACCGGAGATGAGAAGTGGGTCTTCTACGATAATCACCACAGGAAATCCCAGTGGGTTGGAGAAGGAGAGAGCCCACAGGATGTCCCCAAACCCGACCTTCATCCGAAAAAAGTTATGCTCTCTGTGTGGTGGGGAGTGGACGGCCCCATCTACTGGGAACTTCTGCCCGAGGGCAAAACAATAACTGGAGACCTCTACACTACTCAACTACGAAACCTCAAGAAAGCAGTCGACCGTTCGGCCCTGAAAGACAAGAAAGTGTACTATCAACATGATAACGCTCGCCCACATGTTTCGAAACAAGTGAAGC